CCCCCTCAGTGGTAACTGGTGGCAAGCCCAGTCAGCGTGCACGTATGGTTTCTACAGATAAAGAGGTATGTCTGGAAGAATCATCCAGTGTCACCCCAGCCCCAACTTTCAGGTGATGAACCCAAGGCCCAAAGTTGCATAGGTTGTGCATGATGAACTGCAACTAAAATGCAGACCCAGAATCTTCCCTGGGTTTTCTTCTGCTCATACTGTGCTGCTTTGCCACTCAGTAAACAGTAGCAAAGTCTAGGGCTGAACCTAGGCGCTGGAACTCTCCAAAGCTTACTATTATACCAGGCCACTGCCCTTGTGTTCTGCTCAGGCTATGAGGTAGAATGTGACCCTCAGTTCGCTCACTCTGAGAAAGTTGTCCATTCTAGATGTGGTTTCTTCATTTGTGAACTAGAGGAGCCAGCCTAGGTAAAGAATCCACAAGAATCATTTCAACTAAAAGGCAGTGATTTCTGTGCTCGTTTCACTCATTTCACCCCACTGAAGTGCTTTTGCTACTTTCTGAACCTCTGAGGAGAGAAGCTTCTGTAAATGGACTGTGCATTCCTTTTCCTCTTCATCTGATAGTTTAGGGCCACAATTTTCATCATAAAGTGCAGGGCAGGCCAAGAACCTTAAAAGTACTTAGGAAAATAAAATTATAGGATGTACCATGTAATGAAGAGTGCACATTCCACATGCACTTAGGGAGTTAATGTTGCTTCCTGCCTCTTTCCATTCATTACATTCTTAGTACTCAAGTGCTTGTCTCAATCTTGAATACCTATGACTGGCATAAAGTAGAGAAGCCTTTATTTCCTTAAAAAACACAATCTTCTCAAATGAAATTGTTTTGGTAGTATATTGTAGGTGATTTTCTTTCTTTCTCTCTCACTCTAGCTCTCTCTCTCTCTCTCTCTTGTGTGCTCTCTCTCTCTCTCTTTCTTTCTTTCTTTCTTATACTTCTTTCTTTCTTTTGACAGAGCCTCAAGCTGTCACCTTGGGTAGAGTTATTGACCTCCAACTCTTGGGCTCAAGTGATTCTCTTGCCTCAGCCTCCCAAGTAGCTGGGACTACAAGGACTTTCCACAATGCCTGGCTGTTTTTTGGTTGTAGTTGTCATTGTTTGGTAGGCCCGGGCTGGATTCGAACCCGCCAGCTCTGGGGTATGTGGCTGGTGCTTTAGCTGCTTGAGCTACAGGCACCGAGCCTAGGTGATTTTCTATGCTGCTTTTTGAAGATTCGTTCATCTTCTCTCTATAACCATTGTTAAATGGAGTCGATAGAGATTTGAATAATGTATAAGAACGAAGTACCAAAATTCCACCAAGTTTCAGCTTATAATCAATATGATTTTAATGAAAAGAAATAATAGATTGTTAGATTTGGAAACGGCCATAGGATTTGGGGGAGTTGGGACATTTATTTCTTTATATTACTGATGAAAAGTTAAGTGGATTGCCCAAAGTTACACTGTTAGTCAGATAAAAGGCTGAATCCCAAACCTGGGTCTTCCTATTCCTATTCCAGTGTTCCTTCTACTGAAGCTGTTCTGATTCAGCCATTCTAAGGTTGTTTCTGTTAGCAAAGTGAAACTGCTGCTAGTTGGTAATAAGACAATGTGCCCTTTTATTCAGTTGCTTTTCAGATACCAAGAATTCACCAAGCATTTGATTGGGGAAGATGCACCAGCTGTATTTATTTAGTGACTTTGTTGAAACATTTATTGGTACCCAACTCCAGCATAGCGTATGGATGCTTTTAATGATTTTCTTTGTTTGTATGTGTGTTCTTGACCCTGAGTACTGTCGGTTTTCTAGTTCCTCCCTTTTTCATAGTCATACACTATAGAAGACAACCAGAGACAGCAATGAATAAGGGGAAATAAATGCAGTTTGTCTTACTGCCTGATAAACAGCTCTTTCAAAGTTCCAGGGAGAGAAGATTGACAGCACTGTACTGAGAACTGAGGGGGCAAAATGCTTATTGCTTGTCAGCCCTTTTCTGTTTCCCCCCATGTCTGAAGTGAGGAAGAACTAGCCATATATGAGCAGCCATTGCCTCCTGGCCCAGTTGATGCATCTATAGAGGAAGAGTTTGTTGAGCACTGTTTCATTCCAGGTGCAGTCCTAGGTGCTTAGGTGTATATTGTTGAACAGCAGAACTTAGTCCTGTCCTCCTTGAGCTCTGAGTTTGGCAGGGGTGGCTGCACAGATGGTAAACCAGTAAGCAAACAAATATATCAAGAAAAGTGTTCAGAAGTTTTGTGAAAGGAATGTCCAGAGTACTGTGATAAGGTGTAATGGAGACAGGGGCCCCCTTGCTTTGTGGTCTGGGAGAGACTTTTAAAGAGAGATAGTCAAAGTAAAACCTGTAAAAGCTTGGATAGCATACTGAGCATCCCAAGCAAGGAAATAAGTGCAAAGGCTGTAAGTTTGAAGAACCAAGTTGGGGACTATTTTGGGAACTGAAAGACTAAAGGGAAGGCAGAGGTGAGGGGCATGAGATGAGGATGGAAAGGCAAGTGGTGACAAGATCATGAGTAATCAGTGTATTTATCTCCTCTTGGATTAGTTCCTTATAGATTATTTGTTTCTTATCAGGAGTCTCTTAGAGATGGATGGATTTTAGTTGGGTGACCCCCAACCTCCAAAGTAACTCAGAGGGAGTATCAGAGAGGCAGGCTTCCAGTCCAGCTTCTTTAGGAAACTGGTGGTGCTTCCTCTGCTTCAGCACCTAGGGCTGCCACAGCATTCTCATAGTCCTGGAATACCACTTCTCTAGCTCAGCCCCAGCTTGTAGAACAGCTGGACCTTTGTCCTCTCACAGTCCTCTAAGCCATTTGGGGAAGTCCTCTGACTGCATCTCACTTATTCCCTCACTGCCAGGTGGTATCCACTGTCGCACTCTTTTCCCCTGACGTGAGCCTTGTGACTACCTACTTCTCAGTTGACCTCCCTAGTGTGGGCTGGGCTGGTTCTCTGTGTACCACTGTAGGCCTTTCCCATTGCTGATTGTTGTCTTCTGATAGGCAGTATCTCTCTCTGTCCTTTCCTAATCTGTGTCCCAGCATTCTCCAATAGCTTTCTGGCTGAAGTAGGAGAATATTTCACGTACATAACCAGTTCACAAAGGAGTATTGCCTTTATGCTCCTGGTTTGTTAGAGGTATTCTGGTGCTACAAACCCTCAGCTTTTATTATACTTTTTTTTTTTTTGAGACAGAGTCTCACTATGTCACCCTCAGTAGAGTACTGTGGCGTCACAGCTCAGAGCAACCTCAAACTCCTGGGCTCAAGCGATTCTTTTGCCTCAGCCTCCAAGTAGCTGGGACTACTAGTGCCCACCACAATGCCTGGATATTTTTTTTTTGTAGTTGTCATTGTTGTTTAGCACGCCCAGGCCAAGTTCAAGCCCACAAGTCCTGGTGTGTGTGGCTGGTGCCCTATCCACTGAGCTACAGGTGCCAAGCCTATATTCTTTTCTTTAAACACATTTGAAAGGGAATTGGGAGAGGAGACTAGGATTGAAAATAATCTAAAGAAGTACTTCTAGTTGATGGAAGTATTTCAGATTGCATGTGAAAACCCCACACTGTACCCTAGAAGTGCATTAATGTACATAGTTACCGTTCAATAAAAAAAAAAAAAAAAAAAAAAAAAGAAGTACTTCTGAGCCCTGCATCTAAAATCTTCCCTCAGCCCTCTTGTGTACCTCATATAGAGAGCATTTCTTCGTAGAATGTGTATTAGTCTTCCTTGCCCCTATCTCTAAACTCCATTTTCTTCTTCAAATTTGAAGACGTCCTTTAGCTGGGATTCTGGCCCTCACCCAAAACCTTGAGGTCAAATGTTTAGGATTGAAAAAGCAGAAAATAAAGTTCATACTGGTCAAGTGTTTTAGGATAGATGACTTTTGGGTTTTAGAATAGGAATATGGCATATAGTGCCTCCTAATCAAGTAGTATGTCTATAGCATGCCATATGAATGTTCACATTGGATGAGATAAATAATGTAAGTGGTCTCATGTCAGTTCAGGTTTTGCCTCTAAGTGAATTTGCCATAAACTTAGAAAAAGCTTGCAGTTTTTAGACTGTTGGGGGGGGGTTGAAATTGTAGATCAGGGATTATAAATCTGTATCCCGGTACATTCATATAAAAACATGGTAGTGAGAATTTCCCAGCTAAGTCTAAAGTTATCATAAAAGCTCATTTAAAATGAAATTATCTTCCCCACTCCCCTGCCAATTAATCCATTAGAGTTAATGTGACTTCTGTCCTTTCCATGACTGTGGAGGTTAGCCTGAGTGAAGTTGATGGTATGGAAGCTAGTATATTGGTTCAGCATAAGTTCTCCATACCAGAACAGCTACACCATCTGGGATGGACAGATGGACATGCCACAGGAGGACAGCAGGAACCTAAAACAGCTGCTGTTCAGAGAGACGATCAGGCACTCTTAGAATTCACTGCAGCTTGGCTGTGAGCTGCATTGTGGATGCCTGGCGCATGACCTCTGCTCACTGAGGTGACTCACATGCAGCCTGAGGAATAAAATGCTCTTATAAGCCAAAGCTTCAGGCCCACCTTAACAGTGTCAGCTGCTGCAGATGCTGGCTGCATAGAGCTTCCTCTGCACACCAGGATGGTTGATTCCTTACTGCCCTTTTGAACTCCTTCCGCAGTACAGGATGTTAGAGTTAAAATGACAATGGATTCATTTGTTGTATCTGCAAGTCTGTGTTTTTACACATACAGTTTCCAATAAAGGGAGTATGAGAAAACACAAGCGGAAAATCAAGTTCGTGCGGGTCAAGTAAACCTTTTCTTGTTTATTTTTCTCATTTTTAGTCTTTTCAGCAAGAAAATGTTATTTAATATTTCATTCTACTTATTCAGAAGTATTCAAAGTGGAAGGTAAAATTGGGACATCTTCAGTGTTCTTGGATTTCTTTGAACAGTAGTTTCAAAGTTTTAATTTTACTCTCTTCACCATTGATTACATTTTAGAAAATGAAGAAGTCAAAGAAACGACTTTACGAGAGCTTAAAATGCTTCGGACTCTCAAGCAAGAAAACATCGTGGAGCTGAAGGAAGCCTTTCGTAGGAGAGGGAAATTATACTTGGTGTTTGAGTATGTCGAAAAAGTAAGTCATTAAATTGTCAATGTGCCAATTTGCCTGATTTTCTTGAGGACTTTCTCTGACATTATGGAAGAAAGTATCATTATATAGTATGATTTGTCAATGTACTCATAATCTGAGGACTTTAAAAATGAAGATGTTATTAATCATTTGAAGTCCTGAAGTAGGCTGGGAGTGGTGGTTCATGTCTGTGATCCCAGCACACTGGGAGGCTGAGGCAGGAGGATTGCTTGAGCTCAGGAGGAGTTCCAGAGCAACCTGAGCAAGAACGAGACCCCATCTCTACTAAAAGTAGAAAAACTAGCCAGGTGTCATGGCAGGCACCTGTAGTCTCAGCTATTCAGGAGGCTGAGGCAAGAGAATCTCTTGAGCCCAAGAGTTTGAGATTGCTGTGAGCTATGACACCACAGTACTCTACTCAGGGCTGCAGAGTGAGACTCGGTCTCCAAAAAAAAAAGTCCTGAAATATATTTAAGGATTTTATATAATTTAACTGTACAGAGATCCTGTTAAGTTTGCATGGTATACTAAGTTGGCTTCTAAAGTCTTAGCCTCTATGTTCAACAAGTAATATTTACTTCTGAGTTTGGTTTTTTTGGGGGAGGGCGAGAGAGTCTCACTTTGTCACCCTGGATAGAGTGTCATGGCGTCATAGCTCACAGCAACTCTTGGGCTCAAGCAATCCTCTTGCCTCAGCCTCCTGAGTAGCTGAGACTACAGGTGCCTGCCGTGACACCTGGCTAGTTTTTTTATTTTTACTAGAGATGGGCTCTTGTTCTTGCTCGTGTGGCTCTGGAAGTCCTCCTGAGCTCAAGCAATCCTCCTGCCTCGGCCTTCCATAGTGCTAGGATCATAGGCGTGAGCCACTGCACCCTCAACAAGTGGTTTTTAGATTTATTTTAATTAAACCTAAACAAGGCTTCTGTGGAGAGCTGGTGAATTGCCAGCGGTTCTGTAGGAGATAAAGGGATGTGTGAGGTCACTAGCTCTGGGTGGTGAATGAGCAGGCTGGGGAGCAGCCCCTCATGAATGGCCAGTGCTCTGGCTTTGTTTGCAGGAAGGAGATGCCCAGGAGGCCTAAGGTGAGGCCTTACATGAAACCACACACAAGTAAGGAACTGAGAAGCTGGGAGAATCGAAGAAAAGCCTACATCATTGGAGTTGTCAGCACATTTGCCTTAGCACTTTTAAAAAAATGGTCAACTTGTCAGTGACAATTTTAATGACATGACCTAAAGGCAAGTGTATGCTACAGTAATCAATAATGCCTGCCTAGGAATTTGTTAAATAATAAATGACCTACAGCAGTTGATTAAGAACTTAAATAAGTACCTTAACAATAGGAGAAGAGACTGGAGCCAGGCAAACCTTGTAGCAGTTTCCTTGATAGTAAATAGGTGGCACCTGTTGATTTCCTGGGCTGTTAATCTAAAGATGACTGAGATGAGAGGTTTATGCTTGCTGTAGGTCCATGCCTGTGATACCATAAATGGTAGAGTATCACCATTGTCATTACCAAATGGAAAGCAGTGTTGTCAAGCTGACTGATCAATGACAAGGCCTCAGATTGATTCAGCTTTTACCAGTTTCTTTTCAAAATAAAAAAAAAATACATACATAGCGATTTCATTATTTGTAAAATTTGAAAAATACTAGAAGGTTCTCTGTAGTTTTAAACCACTGCTTTTATGTTTCTTTTCCAAAATCTGTTTTAAGTTTCTTTTCCTGTGTCAATTTAGGTATTCTTAAGGTATCTCTTCTACCAACACAAAACTAAAAGTGGATTTTTTTTAAAGAATGGCTATACTAGGATCTCAGAGAAAGTCAGATACTCTTCATTTTTTAGTTGTCACAAATAATCATGCAGTTCTATTTCAGTTTACCCTTTTGATTTCTGTTCTCTTGGTGATCATTCATGATTAATACAATTTAGTACACTTCTGTGTATCTGTTTCCTCACTGGGAGAGGAAATTTGGGGTTTTCTGCTGCTAAATGGCAGAGGTGCCACCAGAATTCCAGTATTCTGATCCCCAGGCCTGGGATTCTTTTCCTGGTCCTGTGGTTCTTAGGTGGAAGGTGACCACTACACCTGCCCATCAGTGGCAGTGCCTAACAGTTGACAGTGTGTCAGGAGGGCAAGGAGAAAGATGCTGTAGGGTAGGGGATAATAGGTAACAGAGAGCCAGGATTATAATAACTTAAACGAAATAGAAGTTTATTTCTCCCTCATGTACAAATACAAAGGTAGACAATACAAGACTAGTGTGGTTCCCTTGCTCCATAGTGTAGGGGCGCAGGCTGCTCCACCACCTCTGAGATGTGGCCTTTGTCCTCAACATCTGGGTGGAGCTCTAGCTGTCACATCCCATTGGCCAGGTTGTAGTTGGCATGGCCACACTAGCTGCAAGGCAGATGGGAAGTGTACTCTTTGTTTTGGGCAGCTAGGCCTCCACTCAAAAATCATACTCCTATGAAGTAAGGGAAGAATAGGTATTGGGGGACAATATCCCTGCCTCTGAGGAATTTAGAGTGGAATATGAAATAAAAGAGAGAATTCGTTTTCTACATTACAAAGTCTTCCTTTGCCTCCTGTGAATTTGGCGCCTCCTGTGTATTTGTTTTTTTTTGTTTTTTTTTTTTTTTTTGAGACAGAGCCTCAAGCTGTCCCCCTGGGTAGAGTGCTGTGGCATTACAGCTCACAGCAACCTCCAACTCCTGGGCTCAAGCGAGTCTCCTGCCTCCTCCTCCCAAGTAGCTGGGACCACAGGCGCCCGCCACAATGCCCGGCTATTTTTTTTTTTTTGGTTGCAGCCATCATTGTTGTTTGGCGGGTCCGGGCTGGGGATTCGAACCCGCCACCTTAGGTGTACGTGGCTGGCGCCTTAGCCGGGTGAGCTATAGGCGCTGAGCCCTGTGTATTTGTTAATTGAAATAGTATTCAAATAGAGAATTATAAAAAATGATTCATACATACTTTAAACCTTTTATTTTCTCTGGAAACAAATACTGTATATATTCCTTTACCATTCAGTGGTAGGGTCAAGGCCTTTTGCATATTGGTCTCCTGATTGCAATTCTGGTTAGTCTTTTTTTCATCGTATATGTAATGCATCTTTAAAGTGAAGCAAAAGCTGAAAAACACTTGCAAAGGAATCTCAATGGAGGATCATTTGCTATTACAACCAGCACCCATCCCTTGCCAGTATTTTATAGTTACCGCACTCACATTTGATTAGGTGGCAGTGTGTTTAGTGGCTTTCTTTTATCAAGTCTTTCCTATGTATTTGACTTATTTTCTTATAAATAGCAACTCTAAATTTACAAAAAAAAAATTTTAGTGGTTTATATGATAATTATATTAAAATAACAAATTTATCTGTTATAAATGAGAAGAGTAAACACAACTGATTCTCTATGGGTATACAACTCAACTGGTGGAAAGAACATTGTGAGGCTCTATTTGAGCAGTGTTTTTCTAACTTTTTGATCTTAGGACTCCTTTAGGGTCTGAAAATTATTAGGAACTTTAAGAGGTTTTTATTTATGTGGGTTTTGTTCATTAATGTTTCTTATTAGAAGTCAAAACCGAGCAATCAAAAAATATTCATTGATTCATTTTTAAATAACACACCTATTACATGTTAACATAAATAAGTTTGTTAGTCATTCTTGCAAGTTTTTCAAGTAAAAAATGATGTTCTTGGCAGGGTGTGGTGGCTCACACCTGTAATTGGAGTACTCTGGGAGACTGAGGAGGTGAGAGGATCCCTTGAGCTCAGAAGTTCAGGGCCAGCCCGAGCTGTCTAGGGTAGGGGGGAGGTATTCCACAAAAAAAACCCCAGCCAGTTCAGCTTGCATTGCAGTCATCAAAGTGCTTTTCCTCAAGACAACCATCGTGCAGATGGTACATGTGCAGCAGAAGGGCTTTATGTACATACCTCATTTTATCATGTAGATTTCTTTCTGCATATACACTTTTTTAAAATTTTCATAATATTGGGGGGAGTTATGTAGATAAATTCTTGATAAGACATATACTCAAAAATCAAAGTTTAGTAAAAGTATTTTTTTTACTGCTTTATCAAGGACATTCTTAATCTAAAACTGTACTTTTTTTCTTTTTTAACTGCAAGAGTTAATTGGATTAAAGAACCCAATGCCTGGATTCACTCTAAGATGCCAGCTGTTTACTCATGGTTGGTTTGTACCATCTGTGTGAATGCCAACACAGTGAGAAAGGCAGACACCTGAGTGTTGTTACGAGTATAGTTTTGACTTCAAGGGCCCTCTGCAAGGTCTGAAACCGCAGAGATCTGCAGGTCAACTTTGAGAACTGATGTCCTAGATGGCTGCCTATAAACAATAAGCTATGATAATACTGTGAGCCTTATGTGTCATGAGTACAGAGGGAACAGACAAAATGTTTGGTTAATCTGGAAATTCAGCGGAGACTGGCTAAGTAGAGTTTCTACTAAACAAAAAATTTTGCATCAGTTCAGCACCCGTAGCACAGTGGTTACTGCGCCAGCCACATACACCGAGGTTGGTGGGTTTAAACCCAGCCTGGGCCAGCTGAAACAACAATGACATCTGCAAAAAAAAATAGCCAGGCATTGTGGTGGGTGCCTGTAGTCCCAGCTACTTGGGAGGCTGAGGCAAGAGAATCGCTTAAGCACAAGAGTTGGAGGTCGCTGTGAGCTGTGATGTTACAGCACTCTACCAAGGGCGACATAGTGAGACTCTGTCTCAAAAAAAAAAATTTTTTTTTTTTTGCATGAATTCTAGTTAGAATGGTCTCTGACTCCAAACTAAAGATTTTGATTCTCGAATTATTTGAGGTCTGTGAGTTCTTATTTCAACAGTATTTTTTAGCCTGTTTTAATTTTTGTTCTAAATTTATCAATCATATCTAAGAGACTTTTTTCTTTTTTTTTTCTTTTAAGCATATTGCCCAGATCTTCCAGAAATATTTTCAAGGCTTGATTTTATTATAAAATTCTACTGAAGATACACAGTGTTCTATGTTAAAATAACTTTCCCCCCTTTATACATTATAGTGTCATGTCTCTACTTTGTATTGTTTCTTCTTTAAAATTATTCTAAAATAATGCCTGAAAAGCTTTAAGGGGAGTGAACTCGCACAGGGTTATTTTATGGAGCATCGCTGGGGAGTAGTAAACATGGAATTTCTCATAAAAGAAAGGTTTGATTTAATGCAGTATCCTGATGCAGCATGAAGAAAGCTGTAGATAAAAAGCAAAGCAATAAAAAAATTACATGCTGTGTATTGAATTATCCAGGATTTAAAAAAAATTGTTAATACATAATTTATGGAGCTACCTAATTTTTGAAATTAATGGCTCTAATTTTTAGAATATGCTTGAATTGCTGGAAGAAATGCCAAATGGAGTTCCACCTGAAAAAGTAAAAAGCTACATCTATCAATTAATCAAAGCGATACACTGGTGTCATAAGAACGATATTGTCCATAGAGGTGAGTATGAGATTTTAGAAATGGAAAATATTTTTTAAAAATCAATAAAGTTAACAAAATACTTCACACATTACTATCTTAAGGATATTTCCATAAGCACTGACATTTCCATTTAAATTTAATATTTTGAAAGTACAGGAGAAGTATGAGAAGTTGTTTGCTCTCCAAATCTTATTTTGTATCACTGAAAGGATGAATCACAAAGATATTTCGATTTTATGATGAGACCTCTGTGTTTGTGTAACCAGATCCACTCTCAGCGGTAGAAATGCCAAGCGATACAAGAAAGCTCAACAAATGTGAACTTTGAAGCTTACTTTGAGGTGGGGGGACCATTTATTTGGTCCTGTAGGTAGACCAAGTAATGTGAGACAACCCAGAGTTCAGCTTTAGAGGTGGTCCCTAAGTCACAGACCCCCACTGGCACTCACCTCTCATTCTCTCTTACACCAGCAGTCTCTAGTGTATAGCTTCACTTCCTAATTTTCTCCACCTGTTAGTGAAAAGTGCTCATCATTTGTGGGGTGCGGGCATGATAAACTTTGCATAAAGGCCATAATTATATGTCCAGAAACTGCTTTATTTTGTCTTTTGCTGCCTCGAAATCGGTGGCTTATAATAATAAGGAAACTACTTGCTCAGCATCATCTTTGACTCTCCACCATTTATCTTCTGATAATCTCTCTTGCATTGCAGAGTTTCACAGTAGTGGGGTACAAATTAGCAGAATGATGATGCTAAGAGATGTTTATCAGAAAATATTGGCAATATTCACTTCTGGTCTTTGAATTATCAGATAAATGAATGCTGCATTTTCATTTACCTATACAAACGCACAAAGATGTCACTTTAAAAATAGTATCATTTTTAAGAATAGCCTAAAGGTCATAGAGAATGCCAACTTCTATTATTTCTAGAGACAGTTCATATTTCTCTTGCATTTGACTCTCACAGCAATTACCATATCAAGGTTATTAGATAGGTCTCCATGTCAGCTGGCCATCCAGTGTCTAGGTTAATGTTTCTAATTACAGTCTGTATAATAGTTTGAGGGTATTAATGAGGAGCTGAATTAGCTACATTTCCATCATGATACTGTGATTTGGTTAAGTGTATTATTAGTATTTTATGAGGTAAAAATAGTTTCTTGAAATGTGTTACAAATTAGTGAAATCTACAGATTTCTGCCTTTCTCCATTTGCACCTCCACCATATGACATAGATGATGGGTACTATACTCCAAAAATAGAATTGTGAGATGCCTTCCAAAAGGAAAAATTCAGTTGCATTTTCTGTGCATTTCTACTCCCACCACATCTTCAGAAGATCCATGGAAAAAATTAGACATCTTAGCTTGACTCCTCCAGTATAGTTCTAGCTTTAGACATTGATAATCATGGACCACGCAGAAAAGCTAGAGATGTAAATATGGAAATTATATAGAAAACCAAAACAAGAAGCATGTCTTGTATTTTTTCCCTCCAGTAAATATAATGCTAGCTACTTACTCTTATATGTGTTTTTTAAGGTATCTTGTGGTTATAAATAATTTATATTCTATCTCCAAAAAATTGTTATTAGTATTTATGAAGTAGAAATAGTTTCTTGAAATACATTTGCCTAGATTTAATCATTCTTGAATTTCTTTCTGAGACTAAATTAATCCTTTTATGATTGAAAGAGAAAAAAAATGTTTTTGAAATTATGGCCTGCATGTTTCTCAAAAAGAAATTAATTGAAACTTTTATGTACCAGCATCAAATGTGTTACTCTTGCTTTTAATTGCCACAATTTTCTGTTCAAGTTACTCTAGATATTTATAATTAGATGCTGTTATAGTGATCTAACAGAATCAATCAACAGAATATAGAACATTTTTACTAATTGTTTTTTAATCCTGATACTCCAGATATAAAACCAGAAAATCTCTTAATCAGCCACAACGATGTTCTGAAACTATGTGACTTTGGTAAGTTAATTAATACATAGGTAGCTTGTAAATGGATATTAAAAGTAATCTTTATGTTTTGACATAAATTACCAGAGGAACATTATATTGGGTCATATATTGAAAAATTGATTGCTAGAGGAGTACTACTTTCTCTTTGCACAGTATCATCTACTATTTTTAAAAATTTATCATATGATATTTGTTTAAGAAGAGTTAATGCAAAACAAATACATGCATATGCATATATTCATAATCCCAGTACCTAATGACACACACAAAAAAGAATTTTCTGAAAACTATCACTATGGCCTTTTGGTTTGAGTAGTATAAAAAAAGTATTTTAAACATTGATAGAAATTGTTCTAGATTTAATCATAAACACTGAAAATATGCCTGTATAAATATACACATGTGTTATGTACATGCAATAGTTACATATCTGTAAGGTCAAAAGACTTTTTAGAACACTTATTTACTTCCTCTAAATGTTCACTGAATAAGATTAGTAATTGGTGTATTTCAGCTCTTGATTAAATGTATAGGAAACTTTTTGAGTTGTACTCTATCCTAATAGACAATTGTTGTCTCCCTTACAGATTAACGCTGTATTAAGCGTTGTTAAGGAGTTAAATGAAAATAATTCAGAAAAGTTTTTAAATCATAAATTAGGGTGTTTATGTTATAGATCATTTTTTAAAAATTATAGTTTTACCAGGCGGTGCCTGTGGCACAGTGAGTAGGGCACCAGCCTCATATACCGAGGGTGGTGGGTTCGAACCTGGCCCCGGCCAAACTGCAAAAAAATTACTGGGCATTGTGGCGGGCACCTGTAGTCCCAGCTACTTGGGAGGCTGAGGCAAGAGAATTTCCTAAGCCCAAGAGCTGGAGGTTGCTGTGACGTCACGGCACTCTACCAAGGGAGATAAAATAAGACTGTCTCTTAAAAAAAAAATTATAGTTTTACCTAAGCTATATGTTGAATAACAACTTTAAGCATGTTTTAACATATTCACATATGATCGCAAATAGTATGTAAACCTCCACACATAACTAAGACTCTATCTCTTCGTCATAACAGAAATAGATTAGATTAGCACATAAAAGATGGATCACACAAGTGAGAAACAGAAGTGTTGTAAAACTTCACTTTGTAGAATGACCCATTTTGTCCAATAGAGCAATTGGAAGCATGTGCAGCTATTTTCACTCAGTATTTAAAAAAAAAAATTATGAACCTGCTTGCTTGAGAAAAAATGTTTTACAGGGCTTAATTTTCTTCATACTTTTATGATAAGGAATATTGCAAAGAAGAGTCTTGCTATATCCTAGATTTTTAAGACATGCTTAGGAGAATAAAAAGGAACTACTGAATACTGTATCAAAAAGATTTTGATCTTGGCATTTTTGGCATTTCCTTAACATCATGAGTTTTAGCCACAGTATCTGTTTCTGACTTTCCATCTGTAATTGCAGTTCTTAGCCAACACTGAGATTGCATGCCTCTCACAGCATTTACTATGCATGCATTATGCTATGGGTTGCTGATCTTTCAGGCTCCAAAGTTACTGAAATTGTAAAGCAAGTTATAAATTACAAAACAGATGCCTGTAGAATGGGTTAATAGCACTTCTGGTCCAGTATAATTTCTTAATGAAAAAGCTTTTCAGGCTTGGCGCCTGTGGCTCAAGCGGCTAAGGCGCCAGCCACATACACCTAAGGTGGCAGGTTCGAATCCCCAGCCTGGGCCCGCCAAACAACAATGATGGCTACAACCAAAAAATGGCCAGGCGTTGTGGCGGGCGCCTGTAGTCCCAGCTACTTGGGAGGCGGAGGCAGGAGACTCGCTTGAGCCTGGAGGTTGTTGTGAGCTGTGATGCCATGGCACTCTACCCAGGGGGATAGCTTGAGGCTCCGTCTCAAAAAAAAAAAGAAAAAGCTTTTCAAATGGTCTGGAAGTTCCTCCTGGCAGCACCACATGTGGCATTCTGTGGCCGGCACATCCCCAGTAAGAACTTCCTAATTGCTTTCATTCCCGCAGCATGCAGTTCCATTGGCGGACTTGAAGAACCCCCTTCAAAATATAAATATTTCTTCAAAATATGTCTTATACTTTTATCTGCACTTCAGAACTTACATACACCTTAATTTTTAGCCTTAAGTTTTATGTCCTGGTTCTCTGTAACTATTAGTAATTATTCCTACTGCCTTACGTCGTGGCTGTGCAGTGGCCCCCAAACCTCTTGAAAGGGTTAGGGGCAAAAGTGGTGGGAGATTCTATAAGGTAATTAAGATACAGCTAGTATGCTTCTCTATCATTAGGAAATGACAGTAATTTTGGTCTGCTTTGTTTCCACCAATGCCAACTGTTGTTGTTTACATAATAAGAGGAACTGCTCAGCAGCAATAGAAATACAAACATTATGTAAGTCCCACATTGCAGAATAATGACATCTACAATATGCTACTTAGACCTCTAGCGCTTATGAGAACTTCATTTTGTTCCTAAGATTTGTTTTTACTGGGAGAGTTGATTTAAAAGTATGCCCTGGGCTTCGTGCCTATAGCTCAGCAGCTAGGGCGCCAGCCACATATACCAGAGCTGGCGAGTTCGAACACAGCCCGGGCCTGCCAAACAACAATGGGAACTACAACAACAACAACAAAAAATAGCCGGGCATTGTGGTGGGGGCCTGTAGTCCCAGCTACTTGGGAGGCTGAGGCAACAGAATCACTTAAGCCCAAGAGTTTGAAGTTGCTGTGAAGAGCTGTGGCACCATAGCACTCTACCGAGGGTGACATAGTGAGACTCTGTCTCAAAAAAAAAATAATAATAAAAAATAATAAAAGTATTCCCTGAATAGTTATAAAATCATGAAGTGACTTTGAAAACATGAATCTCTTTAATATAGGGGAGGGACTAGATTTGTAAGTAAATATGTTGTGTATATTTCAAATGACATATGAACACTCTACTTTTTGAGTTAGTAAGGATACTATTAATAAACAACCCCATTCAGTAAATTTGATGCTCTTTTAAAGTATTAGTAGCACTGAAATATTTTGCCAACATAAAATCATTACTTCTATTTCAAAGTTACATCTTTAGGCTTTGCTATCTTTCAGGGTTTGCTCGGAATCTATCAGAGGGCAATAATGCTAATTACACAGAGTATGTGGCCACCAGATGGTATCGTTCACCAGAACTCTTACTTGGGTGAGTTACCTTCCCAAAATAGAATGACATGTAAATATATGCTAATCCTAGATCATTGGCTTTGAGATTATCTGTAGAAAATAAGAACTTAATTAAATTTGTCAGATATATATAGCAGTGTTACAAACAACCTGAAAACTAAATGGTATGAAACAAGAACCATTTTTATTTGCTCACAGTTCTGGGTTTCAGTAATTTGAGTTCAGCTGGATGGTTATTCTGCTGGTCTTTCTTAGAGTCAGTCAGTCACTCATGTAGCATCAGTCAGCTGGCAGGTCATCTGGGGGCTGATTGGTTTAGGGTGCTTCATCTGAGACAGACCATGTCTGATCCACGGGGACTTGTCCTCCAGTAGGCTAGTTTAAGTTTCTTCATGTGATTCTGGGAGAGTTTTATGCTATAAGAGGGTAAGTCCCAAAGCAAAGGCGCTTTTAAAGCCTTTGTTTGCATGGCTTTTGCCTCATTGGACAAAGCATGTTTCATGGCCAAGCCTTGATTCAAGGTATGGAGAAATAAATCCCACCTTCTCAATGAGAGAAGTGGCATAGCCACAGAACAAAGTGACATGTGTACAGAAATAGAAGGAATTATTGTAGCCATCTTTGTTAATAATCTTCCACATTAAGAACGTGAATGTCCACACAGTGTGACATTCTGGCTTATCTAGTCATTCATTTATTCATTTATCAAATACTTATCAAGTATCTCTTAAGTCCAGCCACTTTGACAGATACTTGGGGTAAATACTGAATCAATTGCTGTTTTTCTTCTAAATAATGGTAATGATGACACATGCATAAATTGTAGGTTTCATCTCTTTTCTTTAATGTGTCATACATGTATCTGGAGGACATGAGAGATTTAATTTTTAAAAGAAACTTTTTATGTAATAACAATATAAATTTCTGGATGTCTTCTGAAAAGCATGATTACTACACATTTAAGTTACTGAGGGTTTATTTTGATGTTAACTATTCATTTCCCAGTGTCTGCCAACCATCTGGTGATAATTCTTGATTTGTTGTTGATCTAGAGCCTAGTAGAATTGTTGGCATCAATTATTGAAAGCTTTGCTAATTTTTGGAAACCAAAAACTTGCTTTATCCTTAGAAACAAATGGTGGTTAGTAACTTTATTATCTTTTCAAGTTGATGGACAGAGTTTAGAATTTCTGTGCTAATTTTCAATCTTGGAATTAGTATTGATATTTTTTGTGTTTGTTTCTTCTGTGTATCTTTCTGGATTTACTGAGCTGCACAGTCCATTTTCTTGTGGGAGGATTGGAATTTGAATTTAATGGATACTGAATGAACAAATGAATATGAAGTAGGTCACTCTTAGAACCCTATTCAAGGACTCAAGTATGGTAGAAAGGCTTGTTATAATACGGTTTTATCTCTAAGAGGGCCCTAAGGAGTTCATTTTGAGGACAGCTTTTTGTAAATCTTCAGAGAGTATTTTCTGCCTTATAATACCTATAGGAAAAATGAGGTTTGGTTTAGGGTATGTGGTAGGTGCCAAAGTAGGTGGGGACAGTGTAAATAAGAAGAGCAAAAGCAAATATTGCTAATTAAGCAATTGTCAAGTACTAGTTGAAGAACCATATTTATGCAGAAGTCTCATTGAAATCAGTTGATATTTGGTTATACATTAAGAATTTACATTTTTATATATTCTTAAGACTTTGTCCTTGACATTCAAAATAGTTCCAGCTATATAAATTATTCAAATCAGATGACAGAGAAAGACAGCTTGTAGTGAGTATGTGGAGATTTTCCATAGGTTTCTTCATGTAGCACCGTGGGACAAGTTTTCTCATACAGAAGCGAAAGAGAGATCAGTATCCAAAACAGCAAAATGAAGTTTCCTCATATGGTTTTAGGTTTTTGTGGGAAGGAAATGAGATAAATGTAATATTGATTTATTGTTGCAATAAATTATTGCAACTGTTTATTATGGTCGAAGTGTATTCTATATGATGTTAGCAATGCTTTAGTTAGAAGTTTTATATTACTACTGTATTATTTTGGTATTCCAAAATTTTATTCCATATTTTTTCAGATATTTTATTTTGGCTTTCTCTTCTTAAAGTTTGGATTATTTATGTTTGAAACATGTGGATTATTAATCTACCATAAATAATTTGATTTAAGGCTATAACCTACATTTGTTAATAACAGGAACATTCCTAAAGCCCTCTGGTAAACTCAGACCCTAGACAAGAGCTATAAACCCTTAAGTAAACTGCAAAAATGCTTTTTAGGGAAATAGTTAAAATAAAGCCCTGTATGATAGGGTACCCCTATATTCAAATAAATAATATGATAGCATTTAATGCAATCTTAACTATTAGAAATTGTAATGCCAAGTATTCAAAGGTGAAATAATATTCAGTATGTGTTTAAGAAGACACATAAGTCAATACATAGCACATTTTAATATACTGAACTCAAAAACTGGGTAAGATATAACTTTTTGACATTTAGAGAGCTAAAGGATAATTACCTAGAAAATACATTTCTTGGGAGCATTTCATTCCTCAAGTGAGGTGTTACTCATTAGACGTGCACTGCATTAGAGTTCATTTGTTTAAGATAAATCCAGACATGAATAGATTTCTAATTAGAATATGCTAACTAAATTGTTATTAAACTGGTAGTTTCATTAACATAGGTTTATTCACTTGTGTTTTGAAGTTTTGCTTGGGTATATATATATATATATATATATACACACTCTTTTTTTTTTCATGTGATACTCTTTAATTCCTTAACTATACAAATGTGCTTTAATTCATGAATATGTTCAAAACAATTTGGAAGTTATTAAAACATTTGTATTTCTTCAGTTGCCAAGGTAATCTCTCCCTTTGCTTTTCAGAGCTCCTTATGGAAAGTCTGTGGACATGTGGTCAGTGGGCTGTATTCTTGGGGAGCTTAGCGATGGACAGCCTTTATTTCCTGGAGAAAGTGAAATTGACCAACTTTTTACTATTCAGAAGGTGCTAGGACCACTTCCGTCTGAGCAGATGAAGCTCTTCTATAGTAATCCTCGTTTCCACGGGCTTCGGGTAAGAGATTTTGCTAAAACCCAAAATGAAGTCAGCACTACAGTATTTAAATGTTCACTGCACAATGAAATGCTTAGCTATCCTTTGAATATTATTCCCTTTCCCATCACAATGCTTATAGTTTTTGTGAGTTTAAAAAGTGGTCAGAATTTGAATGTGGGAGCTGCTAGTGTTTTTTCTAATTTGTAAGTTCCAATTTTACAAAATCTTTTCTAGCATATGCATTCTTATACTCTGAACTTTGATTATCTTAGACCATTCCTGTGTCTAAAATAGTAAGTATTCCCAAAAGATAACAAAATGTAGGAGTGACTACTGCTTCTTTGAGCAAACACATCGGAAGTGATTTAGGAGCACTGAAATACTTACATTCTGCAGATTTAAAAGTTCTTGTTCTAGCAGATATATTTTTGTCCATTGACAGTGAAATATCAAATCTTCTTTTCAAACCTCTTATATTGTACAAAACATGTTTTCTAAGCATATGCTAAAAAGCATCTTAGAAAGTATAAAGTTGCCCCAAATGAGAAGCATCCCACTTGCATAGGCACCTTATTGGAGTGGCCAGGGACTTGAAGGCTGCTTTCTCTCTTCCTACCCCCAAAGTGATTTCTTTCAGTTTTCAATCATTCTTTTGGACCACATGTCAATTGGTGGTCATTGTGGGAACTGTGAAATAATCTCACCACTAGTTCCTTTCTTTCTCTGAAATGCATAAGTCTAAAACCATGTTGCCTTGCCATTAGTAAAGCACTTTGGGTTTTTTTCTTCGACTTTTTTGGCCCTCAGTTAATTTCCTCTTGGAGACTACCACTGCTCACACAGTAAGAGCCCAACACAGTGCTGGCTTCTGCTAGGCTTAGCGAATATGGGCCAAGTGAATGGATAGAGGCACACACAGGGTCTTTTATCTCCCTTCTGCTTTCTCTCTTCCAAATCTAAGTTACCTCAGGCAAGTTTGTCTCTTCTTCCTTTATTTTTGCTTTTAAAAGCCAAAATTCACCAAATTCTGACCATTAATGAGGCTGCAAAAAGCAGATATGGTTCAGCAGGTTAGTTCAACTTTATTGAACATTTGTCATACTAGACGTTGAAAATGTGAGGACCAGTACAACTTGCCCTCAGTCTAGCAGAAAGGAAAATCTGTTGTATTCATAAATAATGTTGGTCATAATTAATGAATTCCTATTTCACCAAGGGTCAATCTATACTCATTGCCATGGCTCATGCAGCCTTGCCTGATCCAGGCCCTTGTGGCTCCCTGAGGTCATCTCATACCTATCTTCATTCCACTCCCTCTCCAGATTCTTACCACACTTGCTTTTCTTGTTCTTTGGCCTCTACAAACATTCCAGAGTGTTTCCAGCTTCACAGATTTGGGACTTACAGCTTCCTCTCCGGAAGGTGTTGCCGTTGTGTGGCCCCTTCTTATTCTGTAAATCTGAACTCAGAGAATGCCCCTTCTCTTTGGCTGCCCCGCATGGTGTCCCCATCTCCTTCCTAGTCTCTCTCTGCCATAGCACCCTTCTTTTTTCTATCATAGCATTTATCCAAGTATGGGATTATTTTGGCTACTTGTTTACTTGTTTGTTAACTATCTTGTCCTCCCCTCCTAGAATGTAAGTTCCCCCTTTTCACTATATTTCCAGCATCTAACACCTAGCATATCTAGTAGGCATTCACTAAACATTCGAGGAACAACTGAACCAAATCTGTATTATCAGCATTCAGACTCAATATATTCCATTTCTCTCTCTCATCTCTGATGCTTCTTTCACTTTGTCACCTTTACCTAACTGTTGATAACGGCTTCCAAACTGCTCTCTCTAACATTCCCTCTTTGCTTCAGTCTTTTCACATTTCTCAAATTGCACACTTAATTCTATCCCCCTTTTGTTTAAAAATCTCTGCAGGATTGCTAATGAAGTTTAAATTCTTTTTCATCTTCACCTTTTCCATCCTCTGCCTCTTCAGCCACATTGAACCTCTAACCATTTCCTTGACATGTTGCTTCTGTAGTCTTCATTTTCATTTCTATAATGTTCCCCAAACTTAACCTACTTCCCTCTCTTCCTCTCTCCCCCACACTCAGGCCAAAAGTCCTGTCTCCATGAAGCCCTTTACACTATTCCAAGCACTCTGCTCAGTATCTCTTTTGTAGTACCCATTGTATTCTCCTTGAAGTAGCTATTTGCAAATATGCATATACACTGGACTACTGAATTCCTTGAGGAAATAAACTGTAATGTTCACCATTTCATTTGCAGCCCACCTAGAATAGTGACTGCTAGGTTGAATAGTATTGCATGATTAAATATCCACCCTCAGGATTTTAACATTAACTGCTGGAATATTAAGCTTGGTTTGCCGGCTGACTTGCTCTTGATCTGGTTATTGAAGCTCTATGCTAGATTCTCTGAAGCAAGAATAAACAGATCTGGTATGGTACTTTGCCTTTATAACTTATAAACTAGCTGAAGAGTTAAGGTTTTCATCCATGAAATAATCAGAAAACAATATAATTTATAAGAAAGCATGGTATATAATAAAGTACTATGTTCTTTATTGTATTCTAATATATCTCAATATGGTTTAGACCATGAAGAATGTCAGAGGTTCTGGAAAGCTAGAAATCATGGTTGGAGATTTATTAGAGAAGGTTTTATGGAGCATTTGAAACTTGAAATGGATATTGAAGAATAAATGGCATTTGGATTTGATAGGCCACACAAAGGATATCTTTCCCTGTGGTTCTTTTTGTTCACAGTCCTCACTAAACAATATTACCTCTAAAATGCTAGCTAACATATGATGATGTTGCTTATAAATGTCCTTAAGGGAAATTGCTGCTTTCATGACACTTTGGCTTTTATAAACCTTAGTACTTTTACTTTTTGGTCTGAAAGTCTTTGTGGTATTTTAACTAAATTACATTAATCTCTTTGGAGGCTTTATAACATATTGTGAGGGAAATTTTCCTTTATGATATTACTTGAGAATGTCTGGGACAGATAGCTAAGCATATAAGGTGTGTACACTATAGCTACTGTGAACCACAGGCTCACCAGTAACCAGTCTGGTGTGATGTGCATTTGGATTCAATGGTGTAGAGATGGGAAAATCCACAAGACGTTGCTTACGTTATTTGGAAATGTTGGGGGCTGGGGGTCCCAGTTCTCTGAACCTAGTTGACCTGGTTTGATTGCTTGGCTGAGCTAGAATGTTCAACTGAGGCACAGTGGTAATTGAAAGCAAAAGTGAGTGGAAACTGAAAATAAAACTGAAGTGGCAGAAGCAGTGTGGATGAAAAGTAAAGGTAACCTACACAAGTTTCAGGGTAACAAAGAGAGATTATATTTAGGAAGAACAAAGATAAAGTTTAGCATACTTCCAAAGAGAGTTGGAAGGGGGGGTCCCTCTCTTGAAGGAGAAAAGGTGAGGGAGACTGAGATACAAAAGCCGGAGGGTGATATAACTACCCTCTCCATCTGAAATTGGTCACAAGTCTTTCATTGGCCTCTCAGCACCTGCAGGCAGTATTGCCCTTTCCTATTGGTCATTGATGCTCTCTTTCTATTGGTTATTGGTTACCTAGGTTACTTCATATACACATTCTATGGGCTCTCCAGACTTCTTGGATCAGCAGGCCAGATTTTCCTATGCCACCCCCCTTGAAGTCCCTTTTTTAGTGTTCCTTGGGGGAAAAGGTAATAATTGATATCTCATATATATAAGTAGGGCATGAGCTCTGGAGTTAGACTACTGGGGTTCACAGCCTGGTTCCATACTGACTACTTGAATGACCTCAGGAAGTTATTTCACCATCTTGTACTTTTGTTTCTTCTTGTGTAAAATGATAACAGAAGTCCTGCCAGATTTGATTGGTGTAAAGATGAAATGTTATATGTAAACTGCCCAGGCCAGTACCTGGCACATGTTATTCACTACAGAGGCATTCTCACTATATTGTATCGGCCAAGCAATTAAGAAAGAAAACAAAATAAACTATTGATTGGGATATACTTTAAATTTCTGTGCTTGAGTTTTGGCTGTTTTCTTGAATGATCTCAGAATAGTAGATGTCATTGAAAAGCACATAAATTAATTTTTTAAAGTTAGTTTACTTGGTCATTTTTTATTGTAATATTTCTAATACTTTTTAACTTTCAGCATTAATTTTATTAATGAAACGTTACTCCTGGAAAAAACAAGAGTGGAGGATATCCAGTAGCGTAAAATAGATCTCATAAGCAAAATACATGGTATTAATTAAAACATACCAGTATAGCATCTTTTATCACAGTATGGTAGGTGTCTCTCTCTTTGGGCTGATATTTAATGCTCTAAAAACATCAAAAGAAACTTCCCTTAGGAGAGGCACCTAGGTTTAGAAAGAGTGTGGGTTTGGATCACAGGATTGGGTACAAACACTAGTTCTACTGCTTTTTAATTATATAACTTGCCTTGAACCAGTTATTTGAACTTTCTGATTGTCATCTTCTTCATCTCTAAAATAGGAATAATAATAATATCTAAAATGCCTCACATTGCGTCACTTCCCCCAGAAACCAGTTTTAAGTTATTGCCTGTGCATCTGTGTTAAGTTCATGTTATTTCTTCTTTTCCTCTATCTGGAAGGGGCTGTCCTACTTTTCTCTGTCATCATATTTTTCTTACCTCTCAAAACCCAGTTCAAATATTACCCTATGGGTTCATTTTGGGGGTGGGGAACTTGCAGCCTTCTGATTTCAAGATTGTTCTTTCTTAAGCACCAAAGGAGGCAAGAAAAGCTTCATCTTTCTCTGCTGCACCTCTTTTAATGAAAGGATTTGTTATGTAAAATTTGGATTTAGTCAAAAGGCTGCACTTGAAGGACCAGGAAGACCAGTTTCCTTAAGGCCACAGATTCCACACCCCTTAGGTTTTACCCAAAGTCTGTGTCTACTGCCATACCAAACACAGTGTAGGAATGATGTCATAATCACTCTTTAAAGTCCTTGTTTGAAATTTTACTACATAATTAGTCCTCCCATCCACTTATTTAGCATATTTAGAGATATCAGTTTTAATATCCCCTGAAATACTGCAGAATGTGAGTAGGCAGAGGGGAGGATAGAACATCTAAATAAGCTTGACCCCTGCCACCCATTTTGTTTAAAAATGCATTTTTTAACTTAGGAGCCTATGTTTGGTCTTCTCTGTGTTCCAGCTTACAAAAAGGAGGGATTTGAAAACAGATCATTCCAAGATTATATTAAAAGCAATAATAGGACATATATCTGAATTCACTCTTTCTACTTTGCAGTGACTTTTTAGGTACTGGCCACTCACTGCCTTTTTTTCTTTTTTTATTTCTCTATTTTCAGGAATAAATAATATGTTGTAGAAAAAGTGTAAGAATGCTATCTGATATCGTATCCCTCTTTCCAATCCCCCAATTACTGTATACAAGCAAATTCCGTATGCACTATATTAGAACTGATTGTATAAGCAGACAATATTCTATAAATTGTAAGGTACAGTTTCAAATTATTTTATTTTATTTCCTTTTCATTCCTCAGTATTTTGTCTGCCTAGATTTAAGTATTATCTTCCACCTGTCAGTTTCCCTATTATTCAGTACCCAGTCCTATTAATCCATATTTAAAATACATAGACACCAAAAGTAATCTAAAAATAAGAATTGGACTTGGATTAATAGTAGGGGATTAACTTCTGCTCTGCTTTCTTCTGTAACACTCATAAGCAATGCACACACATCCCTCCTCAAATGCTAGCTTTACTATTGTGTTGTTCTTGCAGTTTCCAGCTGTTAACCATCCTCAGTCATTGGAGAGAAGATATCTTGGAATTTTAAATAGTATTCTGCTTGACCTTATGAAGGTAGGACAAGTTGATATTACCTGTTCAAAATGTCTTTTGGTTTGTGGATCCTCTCGTGTCTACATGTGACCACAGCCTGCTTTTATGAATGAAATATTTTGTTAGAAGAATATAATGATGACTAACGGGGGACTATGTCATGTTAAAAGGCATAAAGGTAATTTATGTAAAATTTCAACAGGATCTGATATTGTCATAATCCATCTAGGCAGGACCATAAGATCCCTAAATTACTTTCCTAAAATAAGCAGAATAACAAATATCCATTAGCACTCAAGAGCTGCTCAGGCATACGGTTTTAAAACAAACCTTAAAATTAATGTTGAAAGAACAGATGATTCCATTACATTTTTTATGTGGTATTTATGGCCTCCCATAGTCTATACAGATCAGTGAACTTAACTTTTTCTGACTTGGTCGCTTCTCTCCTAGACTTTTTCTGGCTCTATCTTAAATATAACCAAGATCACTGCTGTTATGGTGGCCTGAGTATTCCTCCTCCTGCTAACCTCGCCATCCACAAATCTTCCTGCTCTGCACTGTTAAAAGCAGAATCTCAGATGTCTTTATTCAGGTTTTTCTGCCCCAGTAGACAGACAGCCCCTCAAGTGAGAACTATTTTTCATATTTCTTCAGCTTTTACTGCAGCCAGCCAGTGCATAAATAAGCAAATGTTGGTTTTTTGATAGCAGACCCTCAAAGAACACTTGTTAATAATAGTGTTTTATTTTACGCCCATTCAGTCAACCATCAAAATCAGTGGAGGTTACGCTGCACATAGAGGCTTTACAAGGCACACTTAGCACAGCTGGCAATTTCTGAGCAGCATTCTCAGAATTTTGCTATGCTTTAAACTGTGTTAATCTCTGTTCCAGGGAACACAGTGTGAACAGGTGTAGGGGTGGAGATGGGGGAAAGGGGGGGGGTGTAACCTTTGAGAAAGGCCATATACCATTTAACCTTTTGTAAAGATTCACAATATTCATTAACCTATAAAGGCTTTCAGAAATCCCACAGTAAAGAAGAGTTTCTGTCTCACCCAACATTTCCCAAATTTAATTAAATACTAAATACTGTTCTTTATAAAACTCTAAAGCATTAGTGTTCTTCTGAACATAGATTGAGAAATACTACCCAAGAAAAAGAATTCTCAAAGCTCTTTCAGTTTAATTAGGCATAAATTATCACTTAAATTAGTTAGATTTTTTTCAATATGCTCTTTTACACAGTCAGTACTTACTGATCTTAGTAATTGGTAATTACCTTAGTAATTGGTCACTTAAAATGTAAGTAGAATAAAGTAGAGAAACGGAATTAAATACAATTTCATATTTTTTGCCTTTTATCTTTTTTTAGTTAAAAACAGTTGAACTTTTTTGTTAGATCATTACCAAATATAATTACCGAGCATCAGTGTGGTACCTGATTAAAAAGCCAGCACTGATATCTAGCACAGGTAAAAACAGATAACCTGAGTCTCTCTTTGCTTCTACCAGTTTGGAAGTTAAACATTCTGATTCCTATTTGTTTAATATATTTCCCATCAGATTTCTTTAACATTAAGTATTTTTATTGAAATGTACATTAAGAAGGTATACAAATTGTCTATATCTCAGTTAATTTTTATAATGTAAACCTGTTTGTATAACCCTACTCAGATGGAGAAATAAGAGAATTATTAACACCTTGGAAGCTTTCCTATGACCCCTTCCAGGCTTTATACCCCTATTCTTCCCCAGCCCTGCCATGCACAATTCTGACTTCTGTCACCAAAGATTAATACTGCCTTGTTATTATTGAATGTTATATAAGAAGAATCATTCCTTTTGTCTTTTAGCTATTATTGAAAATGAATTTGAAAGATGAAAAGCACCAATTATCCTTTCATGAAGCAATAATTCTCTTTGCCATTCTCTAAAGTTGCCTTGATAGTTATGTCCAGATATAAATATGTAAAATGGCCATCTTTTCCTATATCTATTCACATCAGCCATTTTAGTGGGGATACAAGTCACTGGAATTAATTCAAGCCAATAATATTAATAATTTTAATATTAATACCATTCTTAATAACTTTAAGAATAACAACAATAATTATATGGTCTCTATTTTAACTTTCAAAAAATTCTAATCTGGATATGGCAGCTCACATCTGGGAGGCTGAGGCAGGAGCATGGCTTGAGCCCAGGAGTTAGACTGGCCTGGGCAACATAGTAAAACACCATCTCTCCAAAAATATTTAAAACTTAGTTGTGCATGGAGACATGCACCTGTAGTCTCAGCTACTCAAGAGGCTGAGGTAGAAGCGTTATTTGAGCCTGGGAGTTTAAGGCTGCAGTGAGCTATGATCATGTCACTGCACTCCAGCCTGGGTTACAGAGTGTCTATTTAAAAAAAAATTATGTTTTTATTTTTTCTTCCAAATACTGAGTTTTAAAGACTGTCAACTAAGTTTCATGCTTTCTTCATAATGATGGCATCCTTTGCTGGGCAGGGTGGCTCATGCCTATAATCCTAGCACTCTGGGAGGCTGAGGCGGGTAGATTGCCTGAGCTCACAGGTTCGAGACCAGCCTGAGCCAGAGCGAGACCCCGCATCTAAAAATAGAGGCATTGTGGCGAGCACTTGTAGTCCCAGCCACTCAGGAGGCTGAGGCAAGAGAATCGCTTGAGCCCAAGAGTGGAGGTGACAAAGTGAGACTCTATCTTAAAAAATAATAATAAAATAAGAAAAAATGGCCTCATCCTTTCAAGTAATTTGAAAATTAATAGCTATAGTCATAAAGTAGCTCTTTGTACAGTCATTTCTGCAGTTGCTATCAAGTAAAATAGCACTAATGGTAATAAATACTTCTGAAAGGTTATATGTATTTCTAATTTAAAAGATGACTCAAGGGCCACCTCCTTTGTTTGATAATATCTCACAGTTGAAGTCATTTTTTTACTTCTCTTTATTTTCTTTCTTTCTTTCTTATTTATTTATTTTAAGACAAGGTCTCACTCTGTTACCTAGGCTAGAGTGCAGCAGCACCATCGTAGCTCACTGCAGTCTCCAAATCCTGGGCTCAAACTATCTTTTTGGCTCAAGAGTCTGAATAGCTAGGTCTATGTGCACAATGTCTCTCGCTAATTATTTTTGGTTTTTGTAGAAATGGAATCTGGCTGTGTTACCCAGACTGGTTTCAAACTCCTGGGCTCAAGCAGTCCTCCCATCTCAGCCTACCGAAGTGCTGAGATTACAAACATAAGTCACCATGCCTGACCAAAATTGTTTTGATGTTAAGTGTTCTAACTGCCAGTGAGAATAAAATCATTTTATGCACTGCCACAGTTTTTGTTCTATAATAAGGAAGAAAAAAGAATTGAGATAATTTCAGAATTATATAAATCAACATGAATGTCAGTTTCACTTGCATGTAATCAGTGCTTTGAGTTTCAATAACCAGAAGTTTCAACCCAAAGAGAATACTGCTGTTCATATGTATCCTTAGGGGACTGGTTCTAGAACCCTCCCTTAGATACCAAAATCCATAAATGCTTGAGTATTTTATATAAAATGGTACAATATTTGCATATAATGTATGCACATCTTCCTGTGTACTTTAAATCCTCTCTAGATGACTTAACACCTAATATACTGTAAATCCTATAGTTGTTACACTGTGTTGTTCTTTTATTTGTATTATTTTTGTTATAGTGAGGTTTTTAGATTTATTTATTTATGTGTCTACTGATGCTTCAATCTGCAGATTTGTAACCTGCAGATACAGAGGGCCAACTGTATTTCAATACATGGTAGGATCAGAATTCAAATTTTTGTAGTGCTAGGTTGGAGATAGATGTCTGAAATTGAAGTCTGGCTTATTTGGAGCAAATATTTGTTTGCTCTCATTGTTTTGTGAGTGGGTCACAAAGAGATTAACTGTAGGCAAAACCAATAAAAATGAGCTAGAGGTGGATTTGTGAGTGCTGGAATTTTACACTTGTCCTTTCCTATGAGGAAGAATGGGCAGTGAGTCAAAAAGTAAAATTTTATTGTGCTCTATTGCTTTGTGGTAGGTTATGTTTCTTTACATATTTGCTCGATTTGTAAATAAAAATTAGTTTTAATAATTTACCTTTTAAAATACTGTCTAATTACTAATAAATAATATTGGAAAAAAAGTTTTAGTTGTAAAGAATCTTACATGTGCAACATAAAACAAACCTTAATGGATAAAGAACACTTGCAAAATTGGCTCGGCGCCTGTGGCTCAAACAGCTAAGGCGCCAGCCACATACACCTAAGGTGGCAGGTTCGAATCCCCAGCCCGGGCCCGCCAAACAACAATGATGGCAGCAACCAAAAAATGGCCAGGCATTGTGGCGGGCGCCTGTAGTCCCAGCTACTTGGGAGGCTGAGGCAGGAGACTCGCTTGAGCCCAGGAGTTGGAGGTTGCTGTGAGCGTGATGCCATGGCACTCTGCCTAGGGGAATAGCTTGAGGCTCCGTCTCAAAAAAAAAAAAAAAAAAAAAAGAACACTTGCAAATAAATAAAGATAGATCCAGAAAATAAGTACTAAAAATAAGAATACCTATTGTTGATGAGGGTTGCAGGAAATTGGTTGACTCATACAATTGTTGACAGAAATATAATTTGAGACAACCTTCCTGGGGGGTAATATGGCAGCATGTAAAATAAGAAGCCTTAAAAGTTTAGGAGTTTATCCCGTAAAAGGGATCATGGATGTATGCAAAGATTTGGGGTGTTCATCACAGCATTAATTAAAATAGTGAAAAGTGGCTGCCATCTAAATGTCCAACAGTAGGAGGCTGGTTAAGTAAAGCATGGTATAGCCATACCACAAACTTCTATATGGTCATTTTAAAACATACTGTAAAGTTATTTCCACTGCATTGTTCATGATAATAGAAGGGGAAAGAACTTGAATGTTTATTCTTAAGCTAAAAACAAACTAAGGTTGTTCACAAATACATTTCATTTTCATTGGTTTTACCCACAGTTGAAATACAGTTCGCCCTCCATATCTACAGGTTATGTATCTGCAGATTTAACCAACCATGAATAGGGAATTTAAAAAAATCCAAAAACCTCAATACAACAAAAATAATACGGAGTTGAGGCTCTTTACTGATATGGAATGATCTCTTCAGATCTTACGCCACATGAGAAGAAAGCTAAGTGCAGACAATTCTGCATACAGTACTATATGTGTATAATAAAAGGAGGAGATAGTGATATGTACAGAATACCTATGGAAGGATGCACAAGGAACTGGACCCCTCCAGGAAGGGGCGGGGACTGGTATCTGGGGGACAAGAAAAAGATGAAGAATGTATGTTCATGTATTCGTCCGTGTGAATATGTACTTACTAAAAATATGTTTAAAATGTTTGTGTTGTAAAAATGTTTTGATTAGCAAGTAAAAACTGCAGGATACAAAACTTGTATGTATAATATGAGTCAGATTTTATGAAAGAAAAAATGTATATATATGGCATTCAGAAAAAGGGCTGGGAGGATATAAACCAAGAGGACAACAATGGGGAGATTATGGGTGCTTTAGATGGGCGTTTTGGGGGGATTTTTTTCCCTTACAACTGTGTTTGCTAGATGTTCTGTAATGACCATGTATTTCTTTTGTAAGGAAAAATATAAGGCTTTTATTATTATAGAATTTAAATGTGACTTTGTTATGTTCTTTCTAATCCTAAACTTTATTTCCTAAGAATTTACTGAAATTGGACCCAGCTGACAGATATTTGACAGAACAGTGTTTGAATCACCCTACATTTCAAACCCAGAGACTTCTGGATCGTTCCCCTTCAAGGTCAACAAAAAGAAAACCTTATCATGTGGAAAGCAGCACCTTGTCTAATAGGTAAATATTACCTTTCAAGGAAGTATAGATGCAGTGCTGGTCTTACGAGTAGGTGGAGGAGGTGGCTGCTTAAATGATACAATTAGAGAAAAGAAGGAAAGCCCTCTTTATTCAAAAATATCTTCCTCATGCTTATTGCATGATTCAGAACCACAATTAAGGAGTCGCATAGGTCTTAAAGACTTTCTCTTTAATAAGTATATTATGGAAACCTCTGCATTCCCCCAGCAAGGTAGCACTGGATTAGCATTTAAGAGGGTTTACAACCTCAAGAGCTGGACGATTCTGTGCAGATGTAACCAGGGGTGATTTCTGGAGGGGAAAAAAAAAAGATGGGGGAGGGCAAGGTACTCCTGGAGGAAGAAAAGGATGCCAAACACAGGTGGGTAGAAGGGTACCTAGGATAACGTTTGCAACTGAACCGCTTGGGTCTGGCTGTACAGAGAAGGGTCTTGTGCTTTTGTTGCTCTTTTTAATCATAGAATTGAGAAATTAATTTTTTATAAAAACATGGAAATAGGCTCGGCGCCTGTGGATCAAGGGGCTAAGGCACCAGCCACATACACCTAAGGTGGCGGGTTCAAATCCAGCCCGGCCTGCCAAACAACAACAATGATGGTTGCAACCAAAAAATAGCGGGGTGTTGTGGGCGGCGCCTGTGGTCCCAGCTACTTGGGAGGCAGAGGCAGGAGACTCGCTTGAGCCCAGGAGTTGGAGGTTGCTGTGAGCTGTGATGCTACAGCGCTCTACCCAGGGCGACAGCTTGAGGCTCTGTCTCAAAAAAAAAAAACATGGAAATAGTAAAGATGGTGATTAAAAGAGTGCTTTTTAAATATGATTTTCAGCAAAATATTTTTAAAAGCGTATTTCCTGAAGAACACACACACGGGATTGGACTGTACAATCAGGCTGTCTTTCAGACCTGCTATTTCTGGATTCTGCTGGCCATGTGTATAGGAGGACAGTGTCCTAGTCACAGTCTCTCTGTCTTCATCTCCCAAAAAGGAGATCTTGTCATCTGGGCTTGTTAAGTTATATGAAATAGGAAAGAGTTTTTCTTATCTACTAGTAGAATAGAAGTAGAAAACAGTAATTTTTTTTTTTTGAGACAGAGTCTTACTTTGTCACCCTCAGTAAAGTGTCATGGTGTCATAGCTCATAGCAACCTCAAATTCTTGGGCTCAAGCAATTCTCTTGCCTTAACCTTCTGAGTAGCTGGGACTACAGGCACCTGCCGCAACGCCTGGGTATTTTTAGAGATGGGGTCTCTCTCTTGCTCAGGTTGGTCTTGAACCTGTGAGCTCAGACAATCCACCTGCCTCATCCTCCCAGAGTGCTAGGACCACAGGCGTGAGCCACCATGCCCAGTCAAAAATAGCCATTCTTTTTTTTTTTTTTTTCAGTTTTTTGACCGGGGCTGGGTTTGAACCCGCCACCTCTGGCATATGGGGCTGGCGCCCTACTCCTTTGAGCCACAGGTGCTACCCTAAAATAGGCATTCTTAATATGAAACTTTTTGAATATGAATTTTCTCTCCTGTCTCTCACCCCCTAATTTTCTCTCCAGGTAGAACAATTTTTAATAGATTGGAATTTGAGAAGCTCAAGACCTGTACTGTTTAGGTCTGGGAGAGCATCCATAAATTGGTGGTAGCCATTCATCTTGTATTGACTCTCCTTAACTATGCTAGTATGATTGTGTTTAGAGCTATTGCTATTCACTGCTCTTTAAAATGATGGGTTCCAGTTACTGTTTCCCTTCAGACCTTATAGACCATTTTCAGCTTTCCCTGGGGCTTCAGTTGTTTGTTGTTGCTTTACCTGGGGCTTCAGTTGTTCCTTTTCATTTAGGAGGTTCAGATTATTCCTGTGTCTTCTTTGGTGTCCCTCCCAGTTCAGGTGGTTTTTGGTTTGTGCTGTAGTGATCAGTATAAAGCCTGTGCCTTGAACGGGAGCCTATTTATTTGTCTTCTACTGACTCCTTGAGATAGTTGTAGCAATTAACCAGGGTGACCTGAGGCTCCCCTTGGGAAACTTCTCTAGGGATCTTTTAAGGAGGATGTGTATGGTGATGGTGTTTTCAGAGAATACAGAAGAGACCAGATTTATAAGGGTCTTTGAGGAGTCCTCCCAAGTCCTCTTTTAAAGTAGATGTAGATAGAAATTAGAAGTAAATAAAAACCTCTAGAAGAATTCATTTTCAGATCTTGACATTCTATTTAATATACTAAAGAAAAAGTCCTAAATGGTTTTTCTAGGAATGATCGTACTGTGTTTTACATGCATCTTTCTCACCACACTTGTCTATGGTCCATGCTTATTCCAAGGAAGTTCTTTATGTTAAGGACAGTAATTCCTGTTGGATCTCAGTACAAACTATGGCTCTCTCAGACTTCCCAGCACCATATCACATTGGTTGCCACGTACACACTCCCCTGCCTATTCCTGGAGACAAACCCACTGGCACACACCCTGTCTTCCAGATTCTTTTCTGGAGAGGCAGTAGACTTGCCTTACTTAGCCCCCTTCAGGCTCTCCTAAGGCTGAGCTCACCTTGCACATGGTATGGTGGTACTTCAGCTGTCCCACACAGCCACGCTCACCAGTCCTGCTTTGCCCGCCTTCCCCACCAAAAAAGAAGCTTTGCATCTTTGATGTTTGCTTTTAAAACTAAGTACATTATCTATCCAGCCGACCGTTTAAGAAGGGTTTATATATAAATTTTTTTAGCAGTTGGCAGTTTAACACAGATTCCTCACAGTTGTGTGTCAAAGAGATCTATGGAATTTTCAAAGCTGTTTTTTTATTGTTGTGCTTTGGCAGAGCTCCAGTCTGAAGATAATGTGATGCCTTTTCTACGTAGGAAGTATGCGCAGAGCTCAATGGCTTCCAATTAATCCTGAGACAGAAATGCTAAGAATAGCACTTTAGACTCTTTGTACATTTATGGAAAACCTACAGCTTTGACAAATGTTTCTACCTTAAATTTGTAGCCTCCCTTTTCATGTTAGAAGTTGTCTCTCTGGTTCTCTGAATATTTTCTTCCAAAGATCACATGTAGGTTTGTGCTGCACATTGACAGCAGTGTTTCTGACAGTTCCAAAAGCTCTACCAGCTGACTTTGCTGCTCTCTGTCCCTTTCTGGTTGTGAGCTTAGGAGATTTCCCAGCATCTGCATGTATTATATCCCTGCCATTGCCATCTCTAAGCCCGAAGGGGAAAAGGGAACAAATGGGGTCCCAGGAGTTCAAAGAGAGCTGAAGCTGGGAAGGAGGCGTCACCCCGTGGAAGCCGTCTTCTGCAGGGAAACAGCTATAGTCTGAGTCAGGGTGCCAGTGCCAGGTAGGAGCAGGGAGGACATCCCCAGTCTCTTCCTCCTCTTGTCCTATGATGCCATCCGCTGCTAAACCCAACCGGAAGTTAGCAGGCTAGAGAGGCTGGGTGAGGCAGTCCGCATGCTGCATTGGGCTCCTAAGGCCCAGGTCTGGGCAGAGAAGGATGCAGACTGGATTGGAGATTGGCAAATGGAGAATAACCCACATGCTTAGATACATTTGAGGATGAGACTCTCATCATTTGAGTTTGAAAAGTTCCTGAGATATTTTTGTCATCAAGATATAAGCTGACAAACAACTCTAATGGTTTAAAACTTGATGCCTTTAGGATACAGAGACTGTTGATTTGAAGATAGATTCTTTTGACATCATTTAACAGAAAGTGAAACTTTTCTTTGTAATTTCCTCATAGATATGAGGTTTGCCATTTAGTTAGCTCATATTTGTGTCCTTAATTTAATGCTGCAATTCTAATGACCTAGTTGGGAGAGGTTAGCACATGCAATTAGGAGATGAGGCCCTCCACAATGTTGTAGGCTTGCTTGATATCAGATATTTTTTGATACTCCAAGGTAGCTTTCTGGCAGAGATGACCATATGAAAGGTAGGATAGAAAAAGGGCCCTTACATTATCTAATGCCAGACAGAGCACTCTGATTCTCATGGGGAAAATGGGAAGGCATGGTTTCATCATTACTATTCTACGTGAAAAAAAAAAAAATAACCTTTCTTCCAATTAGTGTGACAGGAACAGAACTCTCCCAAATCAAACCATCTTTAGCAATAGCAAGATTTGCAGCAAAATTCTCTGAATGCCTAGTAAAAAGAGAACTGTATAATTCATTTTTCATTTTTAAACATTCTAACCTATCCCAAGCTACAGCTGGTCCTTTTAATAGTTACAGGAGAACAAACTGACCTTGTTATGTTGTCAGTTTCAGCTTTTAAACAGAGGACAAGGTTTTCCTTTGAATTTATATTTTGTATTTTATATCAAGCAGGAAAGGAAGCTTTAAGTCCTAAAGAAAGTCTCAGTTGGTTAGAAATAATGAAATGAAGAAGAGAATAGTGTCTTTTGGAGAGAAAGTAGCACTTTCAGATCCCTGTGAACCAGCATAGTACAAGGTTTTTGTTGAGTGCACACGGAGGTGTCTCTACAGTTAGTGGCACGTTCCTGTTTAGTGTATAAGGAGATAACTGCAGAGCCCCAAGTAATTGCTACTTCTCCAAAATATAAACATTATTCATCATTGTTTTCTAGCAAACCTCCCTGGAAAGTTTACATTTATTTTCCTTTTATTGAATAAATTGCTAGAACTCTCATTCTTTGTATACTCCAAAGACAAGAAAGACATTAGTGTCTGTGTGTGTGTGCTGTGACTGTGTATCTCTGAAGCAGACTATGAGTTTCACAAATAAAAATGAAGTTTGAGGAACACAGTAACCTTCAAGTCTAAATGCTGTCTTTTGCCATTCAGGCAGACATAAGAGTTATAAAGATTGTGTCTGCAGCTCAGCACTCTTCTTCTTAGCGGGCTTCCTATAACACTCACGTGAGCACCAACATAGTGGAAGCATGTTTTTCCAGATTATCAGTGTTGATAGCAAGTTAGCCAAGCACTTAAGGATGCTGGAGTAACTTCATCGAGGCCAGCACTTTGTTGTGGTGACTTTGTCTTATTGATGGATTACTTGTTATTGGTAGGCACATCCTTGAGAGAGTTAATTTTTTAGTCTTTGGGGTATTTTGAGTGTATGTTCTTTTCTTTTTAACATGATGCTTTTCATGTGTCTGCCATTGAGGGAAACTGATACACTTCTTTTGCTTTTAACGTAGAAACCAAGCCAGCAAAGGTGCCGCTTTGCAGTCTCACCACAGATCTAATAGCAAAGACATCCAGAACCTGAGCGTGGGCCTGCCCAGGGCTGATGAAGGTCTCCCTGCCAATGAAAGCTTCCTAAATGGAAACCTTGCCGGAGCTACCCTTAGCCCGATGCATACCAAAACGTACCAAGCGGGCACCCAGCCTGGGCCTACCAGCAAAGATCTCACCAACAATAACTTGCCACACCTTCTCAGCCCAAAAGAAGCCAAGTCAAAGACAGAGTTTGATTTTAATATCGACACAAAGCCTTCGGAAGGCCCAGGCACGAAGTACCTCAAGTCAAGCAGCAGATCTCAGCAGAACCGACATTCATTTATGGAAAGCTCTCAGAGCAAAGCTGGGACACTACAGCCGACTGAAAAGCAGAGCCGGCATAGCTATATCGACACTATCCCCCAGTCTTCTAGGAGTCCCTCCTACAGGACCAAGGCCAAAAGCCACGGGGCACTGAGTGACTCCAAGTCCGTGAGCAACCTTTCCGAAGCCAGAGCCCAAATCACAGAGTCCAACACCAGTAGGTACTTCCCATCGAGCTGCTTGGACTTGAACTCTCCCACCAGCCCAACTCCTACCAGGCACAGCGACACGAGAACTTTGCTCAGCCCTTCAGGGAGAAATAACCGGAATGAGGGTACTCTGGACTCACGACGAACTACAACCAGGCATTCTAAAACGATGGAGGAGTTGAAGCTGCCCGAACACATAGACAGCAGCCACTCCCATTCACTGTCTACACCTCATGAATCCTTTTCTTATGGACTAGGCTATACCAGCCCCTTCTCTTCTCAGCAGCGTCCTCACAGGCATTCCATGTATGTGACTCGGGACAAAGTGAGAGCCAAAGGCTTGGATGGAAGCTTGAGCATAGGGCAAGGGATGGCAGCCAGAGCCAACAGCTTGCAACTCTTATCACCCCAGGTACAATTTAGCACCTTGTCTAGTTCTGGTGGCTCATTAGGGGGAGGTGGTATAAGGGATATGAATAAGATCATCTGTAATTTTCCCTACTGCATTTAGGAAAGCAATACGTGTCCTAGTCTCTGGTTCTGAAAAATTATTTAGGGCCAGGCATGATGGCTTACTCCTATAATCTGAGCTCTCTGGGAGGCCCACGTGGGTGGATTGCTTAAGCTCAGGAGTTTGAGACCAGCCTGAGCAAGACCGAGACCCCATCTTCATTAAACAAACAAAAAAATAGAAAAACTAGTCGGGCATTGGGAGGGGGGCACCTGTAGTCCCAGCTACTTGGAAGGCTGAGGCAGGAGGATCACTTGATCCCAAGAATTTGAAGTTGCTTTGAACTATGATGATGCCATGGTACTCCACCAAGATGACAGATTGAAATTCTGTCTCAGAAAAAAGCATGGGAGAGCTGAGAAAGGGAAGGAGGGAGGGGAGGATAAGGGGTGTGGTACACCTTTTGGGGGCAGGACACAATTACAAGAGGGCCCTTATCTAACAAAAGCAACCAGCATAACCTGGTTCTGTGTACCCTCAATGAATCCCCAACAATAAAAAAATAATAATTTTAAAAAATGATTTAGATCAACTATTAGCCACTCAAGGGTTTGTTGTTGGTAACACTTCCTTTCTTAACTGTCCTTTTCTGGCACATCTTGTTGAGAGAGTCCCATTTTGATTATTACAAAACTCATCAGCTATATGGGCTAGTTTTTAGTTTTCTCAAAATTCAATGTGAATTTATGGGGATTTTCTTTAATCTTTCCAAACCACCTTTGCTACAATCAAAACTTTTTGCTAATACCTTATTCAGTATCTTAACTGAATGTACAAGTTCTTAGTTCATCCAGAACTATAGATGAATTTAACTTCAGGCCAGGGTAAATGTTAATTTTCAGTCTTTCAGGTTATTTTTTTTTTTTTTGAGACAGAGCCTCAAGCTGTCCCCCTGGGTAGAGTGCCATGGCATTACAGCTCACAGCAACCTCCAACTCCTGGGCTCAAGCGAGTCTCCTGCCTCAGCCTCCCAAGTAGCTGGGACCACAGGCGCCCGCCACAACGCCCGGCTATTTTTTGGTTGCAGCCATCATTGTTGTTTGGCGGGTCCGGGCTGGGGATTCAAACCTGCCACCTTAGGTGTACGTGGCTGGCGCCTTAGCCGGTTGACCTATAGGCGCCGAGCCTATTTTTAAATCTTAAGGCAGTATTTTTAGAATGGCACTTCATCTTACTGGTCATCAGGCTCTAGAACCGATACTAACCTTTTTAAAAGAGGTAATGTTCTCACAACAGAGCACATTTTAAAAATAATATTTTCACGATTTCATGTAGAAAGCCCTGTGTCCAGTGCCTGGCACAAAGTAAATGTCTAGCAAATTTGAGTTACTGCTGCTACTTCAGCAATGGTAGCGCTTTTACTTAGACATTGAACACCTTAGCTATGCCGGGTGTTCTCAGGTGCTCAAAAGAGTTGGAGAGGGTTCTTTGCTCTTAAGAAACTTATATTCTCTCAGGAAAGGTTAAATTTTATGTGATAACAATGAAATAATTAAGTCCCAAAGTAATATGGCAATGGTTATAAATAGTTGAGAATAGAGAGAGGTCATTGTGAGCCAGAGCAGTTAGAAATGCTTGTAGGGGCAATTAAAAGTCTTGATCTGTCTGGGCTAAAATGCATAAGCATGCTTTGGCTAAAGAGTTAAGGTATGTTCGGACAGGTCCTAGACTAGGCACCACGAGAGAATCTAGTTAGAAAGATGAAAACAGTAGGGCCCCTGCCCTCTTGAGCATGTGGGCTGGCCAGACACACTTGCCAGCAGATGAAGTTGTTCTGATGCTGTGAGGTTGCATTCCAGCTGGTATGCTAGAAGCATACCTATGTGTCAAAGGGGGCTTAGGAAGTGGCATCTGAGCAGGGACTTCTAGGAGGGTTGTAGAAAAAGTGAGGACAGTGTCAGAAAAGAGGCTTGAGGAGAGGAAAGAAAAGAGCATTGGAAAAAGAGGGAAGGCAATAGCATGGCATGCTTTGTGAGGTACAGCTTGTTCCACATTGCTGGAGTGAAAAATGCAAGATTTGGAGTGGCTTTTGCCATAATCCAAGCAAGAGGTGAGGAGAGTATGTTTGGGATTAAGTCAGAGCCAGTGAGAAAACAGAGTGTATCTTAAAGATATCTCACAAGTAGGAAACAAGATTTGTGAATTGAAGGATTGAATATAGGAAAAAGGAAGACTTCAAGGTTTTTTTCCCCCCAGGAGCTCCTGTTTGAAGTAGAAGACAGAGTTTTTTTAACCTTCATTTCACAGGTGGACGTGCTGAGGCTCAGAGAGGGTTGGCTGAACCTCACCCAAGTCTACCCAACTAGTTCATGGTGGGGCTGGGATTGTGAGCCCGTCTCCAGGTCCCAAGGCTCTTCCGCCATATCTTGCTGACATGTTGAGCTTGAAGTGACCTTGGGCCCATAGGAAGAGGGGTGCTTTAAGAGGTTGCAAAGATGGTGTAGTATCCACAAGAAAGGAGAGGGCAGGAGGTATACATTTGCAAAGGCCATGGGGAAAGTCGTAGGGATGGGCAGAGGAGTCCCTGTAGAGAGAAGAGAACCTCTAGTGCTTCCAGCCTGGCAGCTGCCTTTAGGAGATGGAGGTCAAAGCCGGGTGAAGAGTGCTAGCATTCCACATAGTGTAAAACAGAAAAGTAAGAAAAACAATAAGCTGTTTAACTTAGAAAAAGGTCAAATGATAGCTGTCTGAGAATTCCAGAAAAATGATTTTTATAAACAAGGTGGCCCTAAGCAATTTATAAACAATTACTGTAGGCTAAACACAGGTCAGAATGTTACTGAATTTATGTCCAGTTCACGAGATAGAGGGTTGAGCTGCAAGAAAATACAATTTTAAAGGCACAAAGGTGACAGAAAGCTTGAAAAGTAACTAAAGCTATGAGTAAGTCTTGGAAATCACTCATGCAAGATATCATGGCCACTTTCAAAAGCATGGGGATTCTTACTGAGTTTAGGTTAGATCCTAAAAGTTTATTTTCATAAAATACTTTTCTAGAGAACTTTGAAAGGATACAGGTGATTAAACTTAAGTGAGATCTTGTCATAAAGTAGAAAGAAAAAATGCTACATTGGATGAATTCCTACCCAAACTCCTTCCTCAGAATATATTTGGGGAGTGAGGTAAAAAAAGAGGATTGTACTTTAAATTTTAAATAAAATATTTTTGAGCGGGTCATGGTGGCTCATGCCTGTAATTCCAGCACTGGGAGACTGAGGAGGGAGAATTGCTTGAGCTCAGGAGTTCAAGACGTGCCTGAGTGAGAGTGAGACCCTGACTCCTAAAAAAATGGAAAAACCCATCCAAGCACCACAGCAAGCACCTATAATCCCAGCAGCTGAGGCAGTGAGATGCTCATAGCCCGAGTCTGAGGTTCCAGTAAGCTATGACGCCATTGTACTCTGCTTGGGGCATAGGGTAGGACTCTGTCTCAACAACAAAAAAATAAAATATTCTTGATATATATCGAGTAGGCTTGGGCTAATACTCTTTCTGTGTGTAATATACAGCTGTGCAATGCAGCTAACTCTTAATGATTTGGTAATTTTGTTCCTTACTCTTTTTTTCTAAGAGTAGAAAATGCTATATTTTTTCCCCTCAGTGAACACCATTGTGACCAAGTACTGTTCTTAGCTTGTGACTCACTTCCTTAGATAGGTAATGGTAGCATCTCTGAAGATGAGCACTGTCCTGATTATGCCTAAGAAAACACATGAAACTTAAGTGTTATCCTTGAAAAGATTGAGAATTTAAGCACGTAAACTATAGTAGTCAGGGAATTTGAAAACAAAAATTATTGATGACTTATTTTATTCCTCAATACATTCAAAATTCATTTGTTCCATCTGAATCTGCCATATAAGTCCTTCCTGCAAAATAATTTTGGATCTGCACAGTTCTTTTTAGAAAACTCAGCTTAAAATCTGCTAGAGATATTTTGGATTAACTGATGGAAACCCTAATCAGAGTGCTACTCAGAGCAATGGCAATGACTGTCTAGATATCAGGTCATTTTTTTTGTTATTTTTAATAATTAATCAAACTATTTTCAGGCTGACTTATTCCCTGCTTGCCTTAACTTTAATGAGAATTTCACTTTCCATTTGTGGGAAATTTGACTTATTTTATATTCATCAGATGATTCACTCTTTTGTGGGACAATTTGTATTTTAGCCAACTAACATTTTTTATTTTAGCTGGTTAAGGTTTTAGTTGTACCAAATAAAGACTATGATTTTCATCTTTAGGAATGGGATGCTCTTATAAATCCTTTTAAATTTGACTTGCAGCCTGGAGAACAACTCCCTCCAGAGATGACTGTGGCGAGATCATCTGTCAAAGAGTCCTCTAGAGATGGCACCTCCTCTTTCCACACTCGTCAGAAGACCGAGGTCTGAATTCTTCAGAGTTGCTACATTTTACAATGTCTCTAAAAACTGTTCATTCAATATCATTATAGGCTAGCTTTTAAAACATATTCACACCCAATCTCCCACAAATAAGTTGAACTGGTTTATAAAGTAAGTAGTTTTTCTCATGACATAATCCTGCGTTTTCTTTTAAACAGATCATTAAGTAAATTATAGATTGATTAGGCACTGTTCTAAGTTCATAGGCAACATTGTCCTTGTCATCAGTCTATGGTTTAACTCTTCTAAATTTGTTTCCTGCCTCAGGGTGGAGTGTATCATGACCCACATTCTGATGATGGCACAGCCCCCAAAGAAAATAGACATCTGTACAATGATCCTGTTCCAAGGAGAGTTGGTAGCTTTTATAGAGGTAAGCCTGCCTCTGACATTCACCAGGATCCCTTCTCTCCTCTCATCTCATTACACCTCCTGCCAGGGCCCCCTACCGCATTGGCGGGGCACGTTATTGTCACTGTTTTGACTAACTTCAAGCTAGAAGTGTTCTCACCTATGCCGTCACCTTCCAGCAGTTCTTCTCTCTGCCTCATGTCCCACTGCCTAAGTTCAGGCCCTCCTGGCTTCTGACTGGGCTCCCTGAGTAGCCTCTTAACTGGTCTCCCTATCTCCAAGGTACCCATCAAAACAGTCACTGAATGATCATTCTGAAGCTGTTCTTACCATGCCATTCATTTATTGGATCAACTCATAAAATATTTATCGATGTTACCCGCATGCCTGACACTGATCTAGCTTAAAGTGTGTCAGTAAACAAGACAGCCAAAGATCTCCATCCTCATGGAACTCAAATTCTTGGGAAAAGAGACCACAATAGTAAATGTAATAATTATAGAAAGCAATAAAAGGTGCTAAGTGCTATGGGGGGAAAAACATAGAGCAAAGTAATCTGTTACCCCCACTACTCCCCTCTGTCTCACCTTTTGAGAGGCCTTTGGTGGCTTCCCATTGGCATCAGGACAAAACCTGAATTCTCTAGGATGGTGTTCCAGACTTTCCATGGTTTGGCACTAGCCGTCATCTCTAACTGCTCCCTTCACATGCCCTCCACCCCCAGTCTCTCTGGTGCTCAGCCTGTGAACTTGCATTAATCCCCCTTGCTGGGACTTCCCTGCCCATCCCTGACAAAGTAAAGCCTTTTCTTCCGTGGCACCTTGTCTCTGCCTCTCACAGAGCGCTGAGCACCTTGCACTGGTTGTTGGTTGCATGCCTCTTGCAGGTTGTGAGCCCCTCAGAGATACTCAGTTCTCTTCATCTTTTCTTCTTTTTGTTCCCATTGACTAGCACATTGCTTGGCACAGTTTCATAAATATCTGTTGATTGAATGAAAGTAAAATTCCAAGTGTATTTGCTCAGCCTTAGAAATGTACTTTGATATCTAACAGATAACTAAAACCGATGCTTTGGGGTTGTGTGAACTCAGGAGACATTGGCAGAGAAAGGCAACCCCTTTGGGTAACTATGCAGTAATAGACCAGAACCCTTGGGAATCGTAGTACCCTGGTGGGGAAATGGACAACAAGTCCACAGGGTGGGAGCAAGGCCCCAGGGTCAGGAGGCTCAGCCGTGCAAAGTCCAGAAGAGTCACCATGGCCTTTGTGGCCTCATACGCCCACGTTGCCTGACTTCTCATTATTTCCATTGTTTTAGGAGGATGGCTGGAAAGGGATAGGAATTTAGGGTGGCTATTGATGGGGGCATGGAGAACTGCTTGGTCATTTTAATTGGAAACTCAAGCTAATTAAACACATAGAAGTATCATTCATGACTAAATGCGTATTGAATGATTAGGCTGCTCCACTACCTTCCACCCCTTTGGAACCAGCGTAACACAGTGAATATGCCTCTTAATGGTTTTTTTCTGATAACCATGATGACTTTAGAATCTTTTGGGGCTAAACTTTTAACTCAGATTAAAAATAATTGATAAAAAATATTATAGTGAACATGGGCAAAAGCCTTTTCTTCTACCAATGTAAGTTTATTTCCAAAAGGTATCATATGTATATCATTTCTACAAATGAGTAGAGAATATACTTTAATATAAAATGCTAATGAGATGTAAATTAGTCTTTGACCCTTGGAAATAGTTTTGTTTTGATTGCAAATGAATTAAATTGGCTAATGTCAGAGAAACACCTCATTTGTCTATTTCATGATCGAATTCAGGGTTTGGCAAATAGAACATTTTTATTTTAAAAAGTTCAGAAATAGAAAGAAAATATTTAAATAGATGAAACATCCACAGACATCTGTCATTTCAATGATATTATTAAGTCCTAGGGGAAGATTTAATGATATCATTGAAATGACAGATGTTTCCAAAATGCTTCTGTTTTCATTCCTACTGGTCAAGAATCAAGTGAAATGGTGTCATTTATCTTGATCTACAATCTTTATATCAAGATATTTCCATTCCTTTTGTGATAAAATTTGCAGTATCTTTTGATTATGACCAAGCTTAGAAATTGGCAGAAAAAGTTAGCAGGCAACTCCCCAAAGCAGAAAAGTAATTACTCTCATTTTTTTTTTTTTTTTTGAGATGGGGTCTGTCTCTGTTGCCTGAGTTAGAGTCATAGCTCACTACAACCTCAGACTCGTAGGCTCAAGTGATCTTCCTGCCTGAGCCTCCCAAGTAGCTGACAGTGTGTACCACCACACCTAGCTAATTTTTGTTTTTTATAGAGTTATGATCTTATTGCCCAGGCTGGTCTCAAAGTCTTAGGGTCAAGCAATCCTCCTGCCTCAGCCTCCCAAAGTACTGGATTATAGACAGCAGCCACAGCCTAGCCTAGCTACATACATTGTATTTTGTCTTTCTGTTCATTCTTGAAATAAAAATGTAAAGGTAAATAATATTTTTGTAGAAATAACCACATTTCTTTGTAATTTAGTTTAAAAAATATGAGTGACACTCATGTGGCTTACCCTTAAACTATAGTTGGTATGTTCCAGCACACATATTGTTAAGAATTACTTTAGGCTAAGAATATGTTTTATATAGTTGGTCTATGATAAGAAAGCCTTAGCTTCAAAGAATGTCAAAACAATGGCAAGTGGTGGTGGTAATGGCTGCAAAATTCATACTTGAAAATAGGCTAAACATTCTTCACTTTATCAGCTGACAGGTCAGGTTTCTGTTTTGAACACATATTACCTGGTATTAACTAATCCTTCCAGATTATGTCAGAAGTGGTAGGGGAGGGAGAATGTTCCCTGGAATGAATGGCTACACGCTCAGAAAACACAAGTTATGTGAAGTACAGATGAGGATTTTTACTTATCTGCTTTATTTGTATTAGAAAATATAATAGAATAATTTGAGAACTGCCTTGACCAAGTTATGTGAAGTACAGATGAGGATTTTTACTTATCTGTTTTATTTGTATTAGAAAATATAATAGAATAATTTGAGAACTGCCTTGACCAAAAGAGTACATTAATGACTGACTTTATCCTTATTCAGTGCCATCTCCACGTCCAGACAATTCTTTTCATGAAAATAATGTGTCATCCAGAGTTTCCTCCCTACCATCAGAGAGCAGTTCTGGAACCAACCACTCTAAAAGACAACCAGCATTCGATCCATGGTGAGTGTTTTGGTTTGTTTTTATTCTTCTTTTTTCTAATTGTAGATTTAAGAGTTCAAAGAAATTCTGGATGAACTTTTTAGCATTCTTTCTCCTGGTAGGCCTTTCTTTCTCAAGGGAGATTATTGGATAAGTAAAAGGTGATTTGTCATTATTTTTATTGTCATTATTGGATAAGGAAAAGGTGAACTTTTTGCAAATTCAGCATTTATATTAAATATTATCTAAGAGAAAAAGATCTCCTGAATCATTAAACACCTGATACCTCTTTCATTGCATTCTTTTGACATGAGTGGTGACTTTTGCAGTCTTTTTTTGTTGACATGGAACCATGTGCGGACACTTGGCTTAGCACTGTGTGCACATTGTCTCAATCCCATTCCATAGATAAGGCAACTGAACTGAAGCTTAGAAACATCAGGGAACCTGCCTGCTGCTGGACAGCCAGCAGCATAGAGAAGGGAGCCAGGATTTGGACCTAAATGGGCTCTGCCCCGAAAGCTGATGCTTTGCACCTCTATACTACCTGACTTTTTATTTTATTTTTTTTTATTAAATCATAGTTGTGTACATTAATACTATCATGGGGTACAGTGTGTTGTTTCCATATGCAATTTGAAATACTTTCATCCGATTGGCCAACATAGCCTTCATGTCATTCTCATAGTTGTTGTGTTAAGACATTTATATTCCACATTTAGAAAGATTCACATATACCCTTATAGGATAAATCATAGGACTGCCTGACTTTTTAATTCAGCATAAAAAAGACAGAAATAAGAGAACAGCCCTTTGTGATATCATATAAGGGTATTGGTAGTGAGAAGTTCACATAACATGGCAACTTTCCTTTTTTTTTTTTTTTTTAATCTTTTTGTGTCATGTCTAACAAAAATTTAGGAAGAGAATTATAATATGTATCAGGTTCCATGAAGAGATCTGTCTGGTGAGTAAGGACTTTAAAAAAATAGTAATAATGTAGACTTTTTATTCTCAGCTGCCCAGAATCTAGCTCAGAAGAGTGTTTAGGTTTACTTCATAGAACTTTACTAAGTTCTCCATCAAAAGAATAAAAGAGACATCACTGTAATACACTGAATTTAGAATAAGGCCAGTCTTTCAGAGTTCATGTCGGTGTCTGTTGCCAGAAGTCACAGAAGGGCTTCATGTCAGTACTCCTAACCCTATGTGCTTTCACAGTTTGGACCCTGTTGGCTGGGTTACATCAAGATTTAAGTGTCATTGTGCCCTATAGTGATTACTTGATTATTCTTAAAACAATAATAACAATGCCTTTTATAAAACCGTAAACATCCATTGCCTTACTTATAAAATGACACAGTCGTCAAATTAGTGACTAAGTATAGACTCTGGAAATAAGTATTTTGATTCATCGCAACTTGTAGCCCTGTGACTTTGTCCCTCAATTTCTTTATCTGTAAAATAGAGCTAAGAATAGCACCTCCCTCATAAGCTTCCTGTGATGATTAAATGAGGTAATATATAAAAAGCACCTAAAACAGTACCTGGCTTCATAAGGACGCATTAATGTTAGTGCTACGGTATTATCATTAATGTCATGTCATTTCCGTATCATTTGTCAAGTGTTTGTCTTCCACTTAACTGTGCTGATAAACTTATGTGTGTTCTTCCTCCAAGTTAGTGTTTTGTGCTCCCTAGTACACAGAAAAGATCTATGCATTAACCTTGGAGCACAGGATAGCTTCTTTTAGATACCACTGTTGACCATTTTCAGGTATGGCTTTGAGAAGCCATGAGAATAGTGTCTAAGTTGCGAGAATATAGAGGTACAGAAGAAATTGGTTTTCTCTTCTTCATCGCATAATGAAGTGATTTTAAAAGAGCCACTTCAGTTATAGATTACCTTAGACCTGTGAAAATTAGGTAGATCAGATGAAAATTAAGTAGAATAGACAGAATTAGTAGTGTATTCTTTCTTTCTTATAGTCAATTGGAGTAGAACTTATTTAGACATGGATATGTGTCCTGAAATTGAAAAGAAACAGAGACACAGTTGAGATGTTGAGCTTTAGCCAAGTCTCCGTCGGGTCATCCTTATTAGTATTGCTGTCATGAGACTCCAGAGAGTCCCTATAGTGCCAGTGATGAATCGGTTCTTTTCTTTTGCTCCCCCTACCCCTCATGACAATGCTGACACAGCTCCCTCCTGCATGACATCTAACTTAGTCTAAGTCATTAATTTTTTTTTTAAGAGTCTTACCCTGTCACACTGAGTAGAGTGCTGTGGCATCATCATCGCTCACAGCAACCTCAAACTCCTGGGCTTAGGCCAGCAGTTCTCAACCTGTGGGTCATGACCCACAGGAACTGTATTAAAGGGGCGCTGCATTTGGAAGGTTGAGAACCACTGGCTGAGGCAATCCTCTTACCTCAGCCTCCTGAGTAGCTGGAACTACAGTTGCCCACAATGATGCCCACCTAGTTTTTTCTGGTTTTAGTGGAGACAGGGTCTCACTCTTGCTTAGGTTGGTCTTGAACTCTTGAGCTCAAGCAGTCCTCCCAAAGTGGTGGGATTAGAGGAGTGAGCCACCATGCCTGGCCTCTAAATCTCTAATTAAACTTGACTCGTCCTGATTTTTTTTTCTTGAACAAGATATCTAATTGGTTTAATCATCTTCTTTATCCTGGAGAGAAATGCACATTTGATAAGTGTTACCAAAAGCTGAATGACTCTTGTGATGGTAACATAGTGAATTCCTTTTCTTAAATTATCACTAACCTAAGGGCAGTCTGTTTCTCCTTGATAGTGGTACTTCCGATTTCCTTTGAGAAGAAAATATTTGTACATTGTACACATTTCTTGCAATGGAAAAAATCAAGCTACTATGTCAAATTTTAAGACAATAAATAGATATTGTAACATATCCAGAGCTGTTATTCTGGCCATCTCAGCTATCTAGAACCTACTTGAGAACCGGGAGATGAGCAAAAATGCCTCAGAACAAGAAAAATAGAGTTAATGCATTCAGATTCATCATCTTTACCAATAATGTGACACCTCCACCTTCGCTCAGAACCTATTTATTCTCCTTTTGTGCCCAGTTATAGCAATTGGCACTGAGGTTGTCAGTGCAAGAAATAGTCCCAGGTAACAGTACAGCATGCTTTGGGTGGTGGGAGAAGGGTGATCTTTCCTCAAGCCCCCAGTGGGAAAATCATACATATCCTAGATATCCATGTAGAGCATATATTTAAAAAGTAGGCAGCTTGGGTGGCACCTATGGCTCAAAGGAGTAGGACGCCAGCCCCGTATGCCAGAGGTGGCAGGTTCAAACCCAGCCCTGGCCAAAAAAATAAAATAGGCAGCTTCTTTGCTTTAAAAGACCAAGTGTTTTAACACAATAACTAAGTAAATGACACAAAGCCTTTGTTAACCAGTTTGATGAAAATATTTCAAATTGTATATGAAAACACTACACTGTACCCCATGTTTGCATTAATGTATACAGCTAAAAAAGGGAAATAAAAAAGATGTTTAGAAAGACTGTCATCAAAATCTAGTTAAAATCCTGCTCTTTTCACTTAATATTATAGTTCAAATATTCCTGTATATTAGGGGATATTTTCTGAAGATATAATTTTTTTTAAGAAAGCTTCAGTGTTTTCTTTTTTTCCTTTTTCTTTTTTTTTTTTAAGATGGGGGTCTCACTCTGGCACCCAGCCTAGAGTGCATTGGCCCCATCATAGCTTACTATAACCTCCAATGTGTGGGCTTATGCAATCTTCCCATCTCAGTCTCTTGAGTTGCTGGGACCACTGTTTCTGTCTTTTTTATGGTTAGTTTGAGTAGAATTTAACATGCATATGTGTAAAAACCTGAAACGGTTGTTTTGAAAAGAAATAGAGGCACAGTTGGAATGTTGAGATTTAGCCGAGTCTCTATCAGGTCATCCTTACTAATATTGCTGGCATGAGACTCCAGAGAGTTCCTGTAGTGCCACTGATGAATCAGCTCTCTTCTTTTGCTCCCCCCACCCCTCACGACAATTTTTTCTATTTTTGTGGAGACAGGAGTCTCACTGTGTTGCTCAAGCTGATCTCAAAGTCTTGGCCTCAAGTGATCCTCCTGCCTCAGCCTCCCAAAGCTCTGGGATTATAGGTCTGAGCCACTGCACCTGGCAGCTTCATGGTGTTTTTCTGTCGTGTGGATGTGTAATAGTCTGCTTCCACACATATTTAATTAAATAAAGGCAGAGTGCTGCTCTGCTCATATTTTCTTAGCTATTCTAGTAACTTTATCACTGCTGGGTATTTAAAGCCATAAATATTAATTACCTCTGTCACTTTTAACATTTTTGCCACTCTTTATTTTAGGGAATAGCTGATAGAAGAAACTCAGAGTTTGAGAAAGTGACTTTCGGCAGCCATAAAGCTATTCAAATTTAAAAGAGTCCATGGAAATGTGCATTTTTCCAGGATAACACTGGTTGCGAGGCTTTTTAAAGACTGTAAATTCAATTAAGCCATATAGGTTCTCTTTTAACATACAAGTGGCAACTTCAGGCCACGGTGTTCTCTTTCACGTCTTTTAATGTCTTCTATTTTTATTAAAACACTGGGTGGTGTCAGTGGTGTAAGCTTAATGTCAATATTTTCAGAAGCTTTTTTTTTAATTGTTGGGAAAGCATTGAGAGTGCAAAGAACCAGGTTACATTGCTGTGTTTGTTAGGTAAAGTCCCTCTTATAATTGTGTCCTGCCCCCTTCAGAAGCTTTTTTTTCTTCATAAGTGCTTTGTATTAAAGCTTTTCTCCTATTTACATATTTTCTTAACTATTTTTATTTAGGTTTAATAAATAGATAAAAGAATTAATAAATAGGACTTTTCTAGTTTCAGGCAATCTTATAATGTTTCTGTAGTAACATTGATTTTTATGTTCAATGTCTTGGCAAGCCACTAAATAATAAACTTGTTGAGCTGATTTTTAAAAGGTAAATAGAAAAAGATGGTATTGAAAATGTTTCTGTTCTTTCTCTTGGAGAGTTATGGAAAAGGCATCCTTTAAGCCATGTGCTTTTCAGAATCTCTAATTCTGAGGTTTTCAACAGCATGAAAATGGTCCTGCAGCAGTTACAGATCATTTGTAATGATGCTCAAATTGCTATTTTGAGTGAGCCTGTGCCAAAGGGTAATCGTTAACCGTGGCTGATTAGACTCAGTTCCTCCTGTGCTTTTTAGAGGATCTTTACCTATATGCTTGATTCCTCATGGCTATTGGAACCTGGTGTCATGCATTTTCAGTGTTCATTATATTTGTCACACAATATCAAGAGAATGATTGAAAGATCAATATGATAAAAATGTCTTCTCATTTAGGAAAAGTCCTGAAAATATTAGTCATTCTGAACAACTCAAGGAGAAGGAGAAACAAGGTTTTTTCAGATCCATGAAAAAGAAAAAAAAGAAATCTCAAACAGTAAGTAGATGGCCAATTTCTATATATAATGACATATATTTCTCCATTACTGTGTGGTTACTTTACACTTCGTTCACAGCAAAGTTGATTATTTTCTTATTGAGACTTGACATGCATGGCCTGTATAAGTCTCTTCCTGAAATTCTGTACAACTACCCTCCTATCACACAGCCATTTCTAGAATCCAGAGAATCTCCAGGAATAGAAAAAAATTGAATTTGGAAGAGAGAGAACACTTTAAGCTGGTCTCAGTAAACCTCTTTTCTGTGTGGATTTATATTCATATAAAAACCATGAAGATGCAGGATTTGTTTCTCTCTGGGGGTAGGAGGCTAAAGGTATACAAAAACTTAGGAAATGACTTTGGTTTGCATTTAAATCTTGAAATTCGGCTCGGCACCTGCGGCTCAAGTGGCTAAGGCGCCAGCCACATACACCTAAGGTGGCGAGTTCAAATCCAGCCCAGGCCCACCAAACAACAATGATGGCTGCAACCAAAAAAAATAGCCAGGCATTGTGGTGGTCGCCTGTGGTTCCAGCTACTTGGGAGACAGAGGCAGGAGACTCGCTTGAGCCCAGGAGTTGGAGGTTGCTGTAAGCTGTGATGCCACAGCACTCTACCCAGGGGGATAGCTTGAGGCTCTGTCTGAAAAAAGGAAATCTTAAAATTCATAAATAATCATCATTCCTTATAGAACTCCTGTGTTGACAAGCATGTTTCTGGCCTGTGTAGTCACATAGAAAAGATCGTATCTGGAATTTCAGGGCTTGCTTTAGAAGGAAAACATATTTGCCCTTTGATCACACTGTGAGATGGAATGTGCCTTATCTCCTGGGAGCCATTTGCCTGAACAAAGGTCTGGCTCCATGAGACCCCACGCATCACTTCACTGAATCACCGTAAGCAAGGATCCTGCTGGTTAGTGACTTGAGGAAACCAGGCCTCCAGGATAGCAGCAGTTCTTCACCCAGATGAGGCCTGCCTGCTCTTTGCATTATGACACCTTTGAGACGAGACAAGATTGGGTTAGCCAATGGTTTTCATTCTGGTTGTACTGCACACATGATTTACTCTCACTTATTTTAAGAGGAGCAAAGACATAATCAGAATGGCCTGTTTGGATGGCCTTCGTTGATTTCATCTGCAAAATGAGTAAATTAGACGCAGTGTCTCTGTGGCCCTTTCCAATATGTAATTCTAGTAAAGATTAGATAGATGATTGGAACAAAGTATTTGATAACCTGAAGTAAGGATTTTTATCTCACAGATATTCTAGAAATGTTAACAAAAACCTTCCTGGAATACCTTTCTAGGTCATTCTTTCACTTGCTTGTTAAATTTATGTATTTCATTATACACATAACATAAATACAAGCTCATTATAGAAAAACTGAGGAAAATAAAAAGATTGTTTATAATCTTACCACCCTCTGTAGCTAGTATTAAGATTTTGGTATATTTCCCCCTAGCTTTTTAGCCTATACATATTTGTGGAGAGAAGATATGTGTTTTTTTTTTAATTTGTTTTAAATAATAGTAATCTTTCTAATATAACTTTGTATTCTGGCTCTTAACAGTATATCATCACAGACACATACACAATATGTGTGTTACCGCACAAACTTTATTTTTTTCAATTTCAGATTAATGTGAAGATATAATTAGGTTATATTGTTAGCATTTGTTACATAAAGTCTAAGTTGAGCCCCTCCCCCAGGAGGTGTGCCGTATACCCTTGCACTGTGCCAGTTGGGTGAAAGCACCCCAATCCTCTTCTCTCCTTCCTTTCCCCCCCTTCCTTCCTCCCTCCTCCCCTCTCAGCTTGAGTTTAATTGTGTTTTTCTCTTGTGTGGGCATATATTTGTTCATCTACTGGTTTCATTTTAGTATTGAGTATATTGGATACTTGCTTTTCTATTCTTGTGATACCTTACTAAGGAGAATGTTCTCAAACTCAATCCAGGTTAATACAAAAGATGTAAAGTCTCCATCTTTTTATGGCTGAATAGTACTCTATAGTGTACATCTACCACAGTTTATTAATTCATTCATGGGTTGATGGGCACTTTGGTTGATTCCACGTCTTGATGATTGTGAATTGAGCTCTGATAAACATTCTAGTGCAGATGTCCATATGGTAAAATGATTTATTTTCTTCTGGGTAGATACCTAGTAGTGGGATTACAAGATCACATGGAAGGTGTACTTTCAGTTCTTTGAGGATTCTCCGTACTTTTTTCCAAAGAGGCTGTATTAGTTTGCAATCCCACCAACAGACTACATAAACTTTATTATCTTCAAGGTCTTCCTCTGTCACCTAGGCTGGAGTGCCATGGTATGATCATAGCTTGCTGTAGCCTCCAACTCCTGGAGAACAGTGATCTTCCTGCCTCATTCTCCCATGTAGCTAGGAATACATGCACACACATACCACCATGCCTGGCTAATTTTTAAAAAGTTTTTTGGGTAGAGACAGGGTCTCTCTATATTCTAGGCTGGTCTTGAACTCCTAGGCTCACATAATCATCCTGCCTTAGGATGTGAGCTACTGTGCTGGCCATAAAGTGTTGCTTTTTTCTTTTTTTTGAGACAGAGTCTCACTATGTCGCCCTCCATAGAGTGTTGTGGCATCACAGCTCACAGCAACCTCGAACTCTGGGGCTTAAGCGATTCTCCTGCCTCAGGCTCCCAAGCAGCTGGGACTGCAGGCACCCGGCTGTTTTTTGTTATAGTTGTCATTGTTTGGCAGGCCCGGGCCAGGTTCGAACCCGCCAGCCCCAGTGCATATGACTGGCGCCCCAGCAGCTGAGCTACTGGCACTGAGCCAAGTGTTGATTTTTCTTTTTAAAACTCTTTGTATCTCCACCTGAAGCTCACTTAAAGCAGAATGTCAAATTAAAATGCCACTCATACAAACAGACCTTGATTTAACATAGAGACACTTAAAATATTTAAAGTGCTAATAAAGTAAAACTTTTATCATTGTCATAGAACATATTTATCTCTTATTAACAGTAAACTTTGACTACCTCCTCCTGACCATTGTTATTTTTATATTGTGATTTTTGTTCTTAACCACAGGTCTACAGCCATTCTTGGATGATTAAGTTATAAGAAGTGGGAAGAATCAAGGGATTATATGGGGGTTTTGTGTACAGATTTAGATTTTGATGTTAGTCTGCCTTAAACCAACATTAAACCTAAAGTCCCCAGCTCTCTGTGGCATCATTAGAGTCTCTACATGTTGACTGACTTTTTTTAGGATTTAGTTTAAATTTTAGAAATTGAAATAGGCCAGTCGTAGTTGCTCACGCCTGTAATCCTAGCACTCTGGGAGGCCAAGGTAGGTGGATTACCGTGAGCTCACAGGTTCGAGACCAGCCTGAGCAAGAATGAGACCCCTTATCTGAAAAAATAGCCAGACGTTGTGGCAGACGCCTATAGTCCCAACTACTTGGGAGATTGAGGCAAGAGAATCGCTTGAGCCCAAGAGTTGGAGGTTGCTACGAGCTATGATGCCACAGCACTCTGCTGAGGGTGACAAAGTAAGACTCTGTCTCAAAAAAAAAAAAAAAAAAAAAAAAGAGGGCGGCACCTGTGGCTCAAAGGAGTAAGGCACTGGCTCCATATGCCAGAGGTGGCAGTTTCAAACCCAGCCCCGGCAAAAAACTGCAAAAAAAAAGAAAGAAAGAAAAAGAAATTGAAATAGTATAGATTAGGGCAAATAGGATAATTGCTATTCTCTAACATCCTCTCCACTTAAACTTACTTTTTTTTAGGTTTTCATAAGTATTATTTTTTTATATATAAAGTAACTGCCAAATATCTTTGCATGGGTCATATTGCCATAAACCTTCCAAACCAAAAGTTGTTTGTACCTCTGCATTTTAATTAAAAGAAAAAAACTAAGGCTTTGGGATCTAGCTTCAGATTTCCAAAGAATGCTCAGTACAGCCTGCCAGGCCTCAGCCTCTGAAGCCTGGCATTGGGCTAACACTGCCTTTTTTGAATGAGCATTTAAACATAATTAAAGTTAATTATTTTTTACTTTCTAGAACTCAGCAAAAAGAAGCTAAGTAAAACAAACTTTGAAAGATTTAAGGCATTGTGGCCTTTGCATAAGATTACAAAAATATTAAAATCCGATGCCCAGTGCACATAGAGCAGTATGACATTTTAAAGCTGACAATCCTAAATCTTGTTTAACTTTTTCATTTCACTAGTATAGGATCTGAGCCCAAGCAAGTTGTGACCTGCCCATAATCACACAATCAACTGGGAGAACTAGAATTGGGTTTTCCTAAATACCAAGCCCAGGCTCAGTCCGTAGCAGGGGCTCACCTCTGTGGAGAGCCTCTGGGAGCTCTCTCCTGGCTTCTTCAGCAATGCAAGTAAAACTCTCCCTTGGGGTTCCCACCATTGGACCAGGAAAATTTGTGGGATATCACTTGAATGTCTTCATATACAAACCCTTAAAAGATGATCTACTTACCTTCGTGTACATTCTAGTTCTCTGAGGATTGAGAGATCTAAAACAGGAAAATGGTGCCAAAAAGAATTCTATGTTGTAAAGGTGCTTGCTTTGACTCAAGCAAATCTGGAAGCTGCCTTGGGAAATCTGGCTTCAGTTACATACCCAGGGAGTTACATAAGCCCTCAGAGCATATGGTGACTTTGCCAACTTGGTAATTGTATCCTAGTTAGCATCTCAACTTGTGATGATACTTCAATTTAAAGATTGAAATTTCTGTTTCTGCCCTTTGAAAACCAGTATTCTGAATTTTGGCAGATATTTTACATTGGGTAAATTTTTCCCGCAGTATAGAACAAGGCTTCTTATTCAACATTAGTATCCCACCATAGTGATAGTCCTCTTTCTAGTGATGTGCACCAAATTCAAAAAGGTTTGAGGTATCTTTTTTTTTTTTTTAAGGCTAGTCAAATGAAGCAGTGAGATCTTTTTTTGTTTGTTTTTTGACCTAATAGGCAAATTACATGGTAGATTTTTTTTAAGTTGGCGAAGTCCTCTACCAATTAGAAAAAGGTTGACATTTACCAATAGCTCTTTAAACACAATTCTAATAATCATGGTTTTTAATAAGAAGTAAATTCTTAAATATTTTGTAAGCTTTATGTGAGTAGATGCCTGTAGATCTCTAGGCATTCCTAGTAGAGTTATTGATCATGACCACATTATATACTTAGAAGAAATTTGTGCTTGTTTTGAATTTACATTATTGATGTCTTCATTTCCAGGTGAGAAATCACACAGAGCCTCTATAGATGCATAGCACAGAGACTCTTTTAGCGATGGTTAATATTTAGCAATTTGAGAGCTTCCAAGGGCTACTAGTTTCAATAAGAGCACCTTATATACCTTTTTTTTTTGCAATTAGTTTATTTATATCTTATATTGCAGACAGATTCCACCAACGGGGAGAATCCAAGCATCAAGAAATCCCTCTTTCCTCTTTTTAATTCAAAGAATCATTTAAAGCATAGTTCTTCTTTGAAAAAGCTTCCTGTAGTCACTCCACCCATGGTACCCATTTTTACGTATGGTAGCCCTGAAAACTGCTCCAGTAAAACTTGTTTTACTGATGACAACAGCATGTCTTATTTTCATGGGGTCATATTCTCTAAATGCTAGTTAAGTACCTGAGCCAGTTCCATAAATTCATTGTGATATAAATTCTTTTCCATTCTGGATTTTCTGAATCAGTTAAGGAAGTTGAAGCATAAAGTCTATTAAACAAACTAGTGAAAGCCTGGTTTGTATATTGCCTGATTAGCCAATTGTTGGCAGACAGCATTCATAAAATCCTGTATTTCCTGTAAAGAATTAAATTAACATTTACAATTAACAAATGTCTTTGCATTTGGCTCACAGAGTTTGTTAACACTTGGTTTGCAGTTTGTTTTTTTGAAGCCAAGTTGAATTGACCAAATTGAATGAGCTAGCAGGCTCCATGAAAAAACAGCTTCTATTAGTTGGTGACTTGCTCTTTCCTTGCCTGGCTCTAGCTTTTGCTGGTCACTCAGTTCAAAGCCAGGGTTTTGCTTGGCATTTGACATTACTCTCTTATGTTCACCAAAATTAGTGAATAGACCAGTTGCATTCATCTGCAATTTGTGGCACAAATTTCCATCATTTTCCTAGTACATAATGTTAGACCCAAATTTACGGGCAATGGTTTAGGAATGTGATCCAAACCATACTTTCCCACTTTGCTACCCTTCAATGCCTACTAGACTTCTTTGAGACTACCAAATACAGTGTTTGGATCATCTTCCCAGCAGAAGAAATTTTTATTTTATTGAACTGGTTCATAACCTAACTGCAATATGGAATGAGGATACGACAGCAATTCCTGGTACAGCCCAATTTAACTGCTCTCTCTTACAGCGACTAAAACTAACAGCATGGGAATGCTTTAAGGGTTGAGGTTTTAACAAGCTGCATGACATCTGCCAATTTTTCCTAATGCAGGGAAAATTATTAAGAAGGCAGAAGAATTTAACTAGCATCACTTGCATTGTGAACATTGGGAAAGACTGGGTTTCTTTTTTTATTGTGTTTCTTTTCTTCGTTTTGGTTGAGTTTTGGTTTGCTATTTGGTTTGTTTCTGTTCTTGGGTATAGTCACGTATCTTTATTGGGCATATTGGTGTGCTTATAGAATCCTTGTCTGTATTTTGCTCTAGGTGCCAAATTCTGATGGCCCCGATCTTCTGACATTGCAGAAAGCCATTCACACTGCTAGCACTCCGAGCAGCAGACCAAAAGAGTGGCGTCCTGAGAAAATCTCAGATCTACAGACCCAAGTGAGTAGAGACTGTACTACTCCTGCAGTCTCCCTTGACCAGCAGTGACTAGGGGCAGGGGAAGGAAGGAAACAGCCTCTCAATGTTACAGCAAGGCTGAGAGCCTCCTCAGAATAGACCCTGGCTAATAGCCAGATGCATCTTGGGAGTCAGGATGAATCTTGCTTCAGTGACCCCTGTCGTACTGGGAAAAAGGCAAGCAAGCTTCCGTTAGCCTTCACCTAGCCGAGGTGGGGAGATGAAAAACACATAGTCCCAACCCACAAATACCCTACAGCTCAGGAGAGAGAAAATTTGTAAAGAACCATAATTCATGGTGAAAAATGTCATATGCCATGAAAACACTGGGCAAGGGTGAGTGGAGGTGATAGAAAGGTTAAGTTTTTGTTAAAGGAAGTAACATACATATTGGGCCCTGAATGACAAATATAATAAAGTTTGTTGAGAGGATATTTCAGCTTCTGAAATCCATACTATTTTTGACAGGAAATGGGTGATCAGTTGCTTTAGGAGCTATATGTTAGACAGTATAGTGAGTCATATTTACCTGCCATAATAGGGGAATAGACAGAAAGTGAATCAGTGAATTTTTCAGGTGACTGAGGCTTATCTCCTTTAAAAAACTACTTTGATTAGAATCATCTTAATATTGTATCTTTTCAGTATCCCATAATGAGTAATGTAACATAATCTGCCTTGGGTTTTGATCATAGTCAGTATTATATAAATGCATTATTTCTCTATATTAGAAATTCTAACAACCCCCATGAGCTTTTGAGGTCATTGTGGTTACCTCTGCCTATAAGTGACCACAGATTTCTGTGATTTGGCTGGGGGTAGGGACTACTTTTTATAGTTTTTCTTTTTACTCTCTTTATCTCTAAGCAGAGCTGCTGACAAGAGTTCCCCAAATTGCCATTCTATTCGCCCAACCATTAATATTTTCTGCTTCTACCCTAGTATAGGCTTGGGGGGGGGGTGGAGAGGGCAGAGAATCAGATATCCAAGTTTACTGAATATGTATCCAAACTAAGGACATAAGGACGTAAGCGAAAGCCTGATGCTCCATTCCCAATTTTTTTTAAATGGGGCTATAGAACCTTCTTAATGAAACCATTTCTTTTTCCAAGAAGCTCTGTTTAAGTAACTTTGTTTCTCTATCTGAATTCAGATTATTGTAATTGCTCTAGAGCTACATGCGGTCAGGGCTATAAGAATCGTCAGAGTCTCCTTATGTTATCAGACCAATTTAATAAAACACCAGAACAACCCACTCGTGAGCATTCAGCAGGCACAGTGTGCTGTGCTACCTCCGACAGGGACCACAAAGCTTGACTAGAAAGACTTTGGAATGGTAATGGAGAATACTTCATGGGAGCATTATCTACTTGAGTCAGATCTAAAGCCATTTACTGTGGATTTCAATGCTCTCTTCCCTCAAATCTTATAATGGTCCTTGAGATTTTTAGCATTTTATTCAGACTTGGCTGAGCCCTTAAATGCATGTCCATCATAACCATGATACTCAAAGTAAAGGCACTCTGAGGATTGGCCCCAGAGGTGCCCCAAGGCTGGGGTTGTAGTAAAGTAGCAGAGTCTGGCAGTGCTGATTGGCTGTGAATTTTAAGTGCTTTCTGTGCCTCTTCTGAGGTAGAAGAAGAGGAGAGTACACCACCTTTCACTGTGGAGGATCCTGAGGCTCAGGAGTTGCCTGAGAACACTTGGCCATTAAGGGGCAGACTGCTTCTAGGCCCTGCCTTCTACCTTGCAGCCAGTCTTCCTCCATACTGCTGTGCCCTTTGGGGCCCTGGGCCAGCAGTCACACAGTCACAGACAGGAAGGCTGCTATGAGCATATTGACTCGAAGGACCACCATGAACGAATTCTCTTTCAGATTTTGCAAGGGTTTGTGTGTTTCTCTGTGCTTTGCATTTTAATGCCCAAACCTTACCCTCCCCCCTCAAAAAAAAAACATGCAGCAAGTGAACATTTGAATTTTGCAATATCAGGAGAAAGGGAAAATCAGGGAGGTAAAAACAAAAAGGGCTATTCAATTTCTAGCTGAGTACATTGCTACCTAACTTAAAATTACACTTTTTAAAGCTTCTCTTGCAGCTAGATATGATTGTGTGCCTAAGTTCTAGCCAGTCGAATATAAGTGGAAGAAGCATTATGTGGAAGCTTTGGGAAGACTTCTCCTTCCTGCTGATTAAAGCTTGAGATCCCCTGGTAAAGGTAGGATGCTCTAGGTAGGAGGAGCCTGGGCCCTGCCAGCTCCAGATGTCTAATCTAAATTGAGAACAATAACTACATTCTCATTTGAGGAAAACCCAAAGAACAGATGCGGCTGGACGAGCCCTTCCTCCCACGTGCTTGCCCTCCCTGGCTACGCCCAGTCGTCTCAGGTCTGAGCTCCATTTCCTTCCAGCTCATGGGCTCCTCTAAACGAATGCTGCCTGTGTTCTCATCCTTTCTTTCAGAGCCAGCCGTTAAAATCACTGCGCAAGCTGTTACATCTCCCTACAGCCTCAAATCACCCGACTTCCTCAGATCCCCGCTTCCAGCCCTTAACAGCTCAACAAGCCAAAAATACCTTCTCAGAAATTCGGATTCACCCCCTGAGCCAAGCCTCTGGCGGGAGCACCAACATCCGGCCGGAGCCCGCACCAAAAGGCCGGCCACCCCTCCCGCTGCCAGGTCAGATGGATCCTGGTTGGCACGTGTCCTCTGTGGCCAGGAGTGCCACAGAGGGACCTTCCTACTCTGAACAGCTGGGTGCCAAAACCGGGCCGAATGGGCACCCCTATAACAGAACAAATCGCTCACGAATGCCAAATCTGAACGATTTAAAAGAGACAGCCTTGTAATTTGTGCTGGTGGGGGGGGATGGGGCGAAGGGGGGTGGGCAAGACAGTCGGGAGGGGAGGGGTGGGGTGGGCTGGGGAATGGGCTGGGCCAGGGTGGTAAGCCAGTATTTTCAGCTTTATGAAGGTGTGTGCAATACTGTATGTGGGGGCCTTTGGGCTCCTCACAGCACAAATGCTAGTCAGGGATCTTAGAGCCACAGGAGTTTCTTAGGGATCACCACTCCCCACAGGCCTTGTGTGAGAATGGATAGAGTGTGCCATTGAGAAAGATGAAATTCTTGCCAGTTTCTCCCCCGTACACTCCAGCTTTAGTGCAATCTCTTTTGAACTTGGGAAAACCAGGACGTGTCCTGGCACTGCAAGGGATAGAAAAGTCCGTGTTGACCAATGCCCTTACCACATATTTTTTTCTGCCTAGACTAAATGTGGGGTTTATTGCAATCCAAGAGTATCCCTTTGAAGGGTTAGCAGATGAACTGTATGTCTTAAATTGTTTTCTAAACTTCCATATTTGATAGGATTTGTAACATTTATTTATAATTAATATTGTACTGTTATAATCATACCTTTTATGTTATAATGTAAAGTTATTTTGAGCTGTTTGAAACATTGTGAAGCAGTGGGACAGCTACAGTAGTTTCTATAAAAACTAAACAGTAACATTTATATATTGCATCAGGAGTATTTTATTCTATATATAAATATATATATATGGTAAATATCTGTCTGTTTTATAAATATATTCATTTAAAGAAAGTATCGTTATGACACTATCTGCCATATTTTTATACATTTGTGATATGAAGTGAGTATTATACTTCTAATAAAGGGAGTTGAATTGTGGCTACATGTGACTGTAACAGTATGAACCTTGCTCAACATTTAGGCCCCAGCAGTAGCCTCTAGACATGATCCTTGGTAGCAGACGAGATGCAGCATCTCTTTCCAAACCTGCAGGGGAAGAAGGTTGGATAGGCCAGTGAGAGTTCCAGCAGGCCTTGTTTCCATCCTTCTGTACTTGGCTCCTGTTTGTGTCCACAGCCGTTACTTGCACTTGAGGGGAGAATAGATTGAGGCATCGCTCATGGGTCTTTGTAGAGAGAAAGTGCTCTTCCACTTAGCATTAGTGTAGAGCGTAGACCAAAGATTTGCCAGTGAACATTCCTTGCAAAGTTGTAAGAGGCACCTGTTTGCAGATTTTGCAAACCAGCTCTATGCTCCTGAATACTGTCCACTGTCCTAGAGACACTGGCTGGTGGGGTGTGAGATACATGTGTGGCATTTCTATTTCTAAATGCTTTTTATGTTATTTGCTCTTTCCAATGTTATATTTAAAAGGCTCCTGGAACAACTCCAGATGTAGAGAAAATTGCTCTATCCATTTTTTTCTTCCTGGGACCGTCTGTTTATAACAAGGTTATCATTCACACCTGTAAATATACATACACACCCATTAGAACAGGACCTATCTTTCCCTCATTTGATCTCTTTCAACTCCCAAGTTACTCCCAAGTATCATCAAGGCCTTTCCCCAGCAAGTGTTATACCCTGGAGCCTCTGGGCCATCCTTGACAGAAGCACCTCCATGCCATCATCTATCAGTAGTATTAGATTTTTGGAAGTAGTCTTTTAGCAATAATACTTTTCAAGGTCCCTCCCACACCTCAAAGAGGTAACTTCTCGATATTTCTTACTTGTCCCAGAATTCTGAGAGTGTCAGTCCCTGAATCAAGTCAGCTATATTGAAATGTGCTGAGTTACTGTTAACCCTTCCCCAAGATTTTGAGAATCATAGCTCTCATGATTATGAAGATTATAAAGAAAAAGGTCCTAGTCTCTTTGAAGCTTAAATTGTGCACATATTACATTTTTATATAAATACTATAATGATGTATATTGATTATATATAGAGGTCATTTTAAGGTGCTTTTTATTTAATTTTAATAAGTGTAATAGGCACTAAAATGAAACTCAACTGGGTACTATAGAAACAATTTGATTCAAATCAATAGTTTTGCATGCTCTTTAATTCTCTATCTTGTTTCTCTCACCAGTTAGTACTGCTTGGGTAGCTCTGAATTCTGGCTTTTCCCAGGCAGCTGCTTGGTAATACAAGTGAGGTAGACCCTCAGCAGTTTTTGCCTGGATACTAATGACTAAAAAGGTGTATATTTAACTCTTCTTTTTCGTACTGGATCTGTACCTTGTATTCCCCCTTGCAAACCAGAAACTACATTTTTTTCCTCTGGAAAGACTTCTCACTGTGCTGTGCGCTTAGGAACTGCGCAGTCCCATTGCCGCTTTGGCAGTTGAGGCTCGTCGTCACCTAGGGGCTGGTTTCCCAGGTTGCCATCCTTGCTAACACTGGGATCTCAGATATTTGCAGAAAATTTTTATTCATGATGGTTCTTCAAAGAAGGGCTAGAATAATTGCCTTCTACCTAGAGCAAAGTAAACCTAACTGATGAAGAGTCAACACGTACTTTTGTACATTCCCAGATTTGAGCCAGAAAATATCTACAAATATCTACAATGTTTTCAACTAGTGTTTTTGAGGTAGCTCTTTTATCCTCTTCTTAGCTTTTGTCTGTTCTGACTTTTCACTGATCCTCAGTACGTTGTAAGTGAACTACAATCTGCATTTCTAGCATGTAAATTCTCTTCCCGCTCACGGAGGGGAATGGTGAAGTTTTTCTCTTAGATCTAATGGGCCCTCTCTTAGCTTTTAACTGTCGTTTCCCCCTCTGCTTGATGAAGAATTGTTGACCTCACCAAAATTACCATCCATGATAGGAAAGACTTGTTGTAAAGTCATACAAATTTGCATTTTCTTTAGGAAGGGGAATCTATGACATCCATGTTCTGTTATCTTCCCTAACTTCCTAAAGGATAAAAAGTTGAATGAAAGTTTATAAGTTACTTTGTTTTATGAAAGTATTACTGGTCTCTTTTTGAAAAGGAACTCTGCTTCGCTGTTTTTCTACTTCTTTGCCATCCTTGTTTTTCTTCTCTAAAGGTTCTTAATGAACTCTAATTGAACCTTCTTTGGTCTTGCTCTGAAGTTTAATCTCTCTCCAGAGCCCAAGTCCAAAAGGGAGTGCTCCCTGCTAAGAGGCTCAAGTGAGCTGACTCAACTGCAGTGGTTCTCAACTAAGGGCAAATTTGCCTCCTAGAGCATACTTGGCAATGTCTGGGGACATTTGATTGTCACACAGGTGTGGGAGGGGGTGGTAGTGTGCTGCTGGCATCTAATGTGTAGAGGCCAGGGATGCCACTAAATGTCTTACAATTCACAGGACAGCCCCCAACACAAAGAGTGATCTAGCCCCAAACATCACTAGTGCTGAAATTGAGAAGCCCTGCCCTACACCATCCCAAGCCCACCAGTCTGCAGAGCGTGGCTCTGGGCCTATTCTTTCTAGGCCACAGAACTGCAGGTATGAATTCTTCAACATCACATTCTCTTAAAGAATCTTTGACCACTATCTTTGAATCCTTAGAATCGTATTGTTCATTTCCATTGTCTTGGGCCTGCTAAAAGGTGCATACTTTGGGAGGAGACTAGAGTTACTTTATAGGTGTTTGAGAACTTAAATTCTAGCTTAGCATTCTTAGAAAATCTTTCATAGAGCCATGAGGCTTATATTTAGAAGCAAGCAACAGCCTGGCAGATTGGCATGATTTTTACCAACTGCTCAAAGGCATCCATGGCTTTTAGCTGTGTCTCCTGAAAGAAAATGTCTTTGTTTTTTATTCAAGTCATTTAATAGCTCTTTACAAATATTAGCATATGGCAGACCGATTAGAAGCAAAAAACTCTTTATTGGTGGTTGTGATGTGACTGTTATAGAAGTATTTGTGCTGTGTGCTTTGGTTAAACCTGTTTTAAAACATGCTTTAAGAGTCACCATATGCAGTTGTACTTTAATTGTAAGCTCAGAGCTATGCTGGTCAGTCTCTAGTCACGCCGTGTATTATAAAGTATGTTGTGGTTGTAGAGTTAGCCAGTTTAGCATGTTCTAATCTGAAAATTAGTGGACTATACTAGGAAACGCTATCCCATTTTCCCTTCCCAGCACCTCTTAGTTAATATCATAGTATCCTCACTTCTTAAACTAGTTTGTAGAGTAAGGAAAAAAGCCATTTATTTTCTTCTAGCCATGTATTAAAAATGACTCATAAGTGTACAACTTTTTTTCAAAGGCCAGAGGATTACTTTTCACATGTGTGGAAGGATCTGTCCATTTCTCTTCACCTAGTTCCTGGTGGTGACTGAACTCTTTCAGCAAGGGCAATAGTTCCTTATGATTCATTGCTAAAGGTCAGCGGGGAACTCAGTCAATCTGCAAACGTTCTCCGGGTCAGAACATGCTTTCTAGAGAGCATCCCTTTTATATCTAAAGGTTCGTTACCTCCTTCATTGTGGTGGGATCTTGAGTTCCATGTGGGTACTATATCCACAGATTCATACTTCTGTGACCTGGGAGTGTGGCATGATACACTGAACCGAGTCAGGAAAGAGTGGATTATTTCCTTGCCTCCTTCAGTTCATCACTAATGTGTAGGCAGAGAAAACTTATTTATGGTTTAAAAACTAATAATTCTGGTTTCTTTGAAAGGGGCTGCAGAAAAGACAGTACAAATGTTATAAGGGTCCTGTCGCTAATCCCCAGAGCCAGAATCTCACAAGAAGATCCTCTCGGACTTAAAAGACTGGCTTACAAAAGAAAAAAAACAAGTTTGTAAGCGGTTATGATTTCTTCCTTTTACTTCTTGACCAGCTGAGATACAGAATATTTGGAGGTCTGGTTCAGCTGATCAAAAAATTCTGTCTTAGAAACCATGAGTAAGAAACCATGTAAGCAAATGAAGTCCCTCATCTGTCTACTTGCACACAGTATGGGAGAAGTGAGGTGGCTAGGGAACTCTGGGCCTGCTGCCCCATTCAGTTCTTTTTTTCTTATTTAATTGAATGTACTGTAGAAGATGGTAGACTTTTATGTGAGCCAGTTACTCCGCGAATCTTCGTTGCCCACAGTGGTTTGTTAATTCAGCAGCATTAGGCCCGGTCCTGACTCTACCTTTCTCCTTTCCAGGCTCTGGCCCCACCTTTCTGTGTATTTACTGTAGGTTATTAAATATGATCATGACCTGCCTTGCATTTTCATTCATCAAGTGTTTACTCCCAGATTTAAGGGAGGTTTGTCTCGTTTTGCCAGAAAAAAATTGTAATAGTCTGCACGCTGGATGTGTAGGGCCCCCCAAACTTTGGCAGTGAAATTGGTTTCACTTCTGAGGCCCTTCATTTCCCATGAGGTTAAGCTCTCTGAACCCCATTTAATCCTTGGGTCTATTTTGATCCTCCTTTGGAATCTGAAAATCGGTCTCCTGTTGTATGCAGATTAGAAGTTGCCTTGTTTGCTACTCTTCCAACTCAGAGTATCAGGGAGAAAGAGGCCTTATCTGTTCCTCCATCCCCTCTGTTTTGACAGACTGCTAAGAATTCCTCAGGACTTCCTTTGGTTTGGGGATATTACTTTCCCAAAAGACTGATAAGATTTATTTCAGGCATAGACAAACTTGTCCTAGTGCTCTGCTTCAGGTCTAATCAGAAGAAACCCAGGAATAGAAAAGGAAGATGCCTTGACTTTTTGTCCCTGTTGGGGATTAAAGTTTTTATTGTCAGAGTTGTCAAAAACTCCAGTTCAAACTATGTAGAGTTGCACGGGGAAAAAATCAACAAAACACAATGCTTTTCCTCCTGGAGAATTTCTAAGTTCTCCACTATGGCTTTAGATTTTTCCCAAATGGAAAACAAAGCTTGCAGAAAACCCTTTTCACTAGAAATATACTGCTGAGTCTAGTCATCAGTCTATTTCCCTCTCCTTGTTACTCTTGGTCATCGATTGAGTCAGGCTAGAGGGGTAATGCGGTGATTGAAAGAAGTAAATTCTCACCGCAAACTTGGATTAATTCACAGAAACAATCCAACCCAACAAAATTGTTGCCCCAAATTTCTATCTCCAAGAATTGCTTTGTGCCATTGTGAATTCAGGTAGTTATTCTGTATATACTTAGACAACTATTCAGAGCTTCTTCAATCTCTAGTAAGTTTGAAGGTGGTATCTGGAAAGACACAGGGCAGGGTGACATTGAGACCCTGTTCATTCTTAAAAACAAAAATAGGGATAAGCCAGAATGATGTGACATCCAGTATGTGGTAGATGAAGAATCAGTGGAAATTCTTAGTTGCACAGACTTTATAATCCATTATGTAAAGTGTAATTCCATACTTTTTACTGTGGCAAGGGTGTGACGTGGTTGTTAATCTTTTTAATTTTTGAATCCAAACTGAATTTAAAGTGTTGAATACTTAAATCCTCTCAAGTGAATTATGAACCATTTGTAAAGTGTTTCTATAACTCTTTGTATCATGTGTTGGTACATCTTATCAAGTTTTTTCTGGCATGTATTCCATTCTAAACTTCTGTAATATTTCTATTGTTGCTGTAAATATTACACAAATATCTACTCCGTGGTAACCTTCATTATCAGCATGGAATGGTTAATTTTTACTGAGCACAATGTATTTTTGAATGAATCTTCCCAAATGTCTTTAATAAAATGCAGATTTTGCACTGACCGATGTGACTGCCAGGCCATCCCGATCTTGAGCACTGTGGTCCTTCCTGTTGGAACAGCAAACAGCTCCATTTTAGTTTCTTCTTTGGAAGAAAGAATATGTTGGAATTCAAATGAGGGATAATGGGCCTTTGAAGTTGTAATCAGCTTAAGGGACATTAATGTAAAGCAAGACAAATTCTGTAACTTAATGATGTTGATAATGTGTTTTTCTATTTATAAAGCTTTTTGCCCCTTATAGATTTTGAAAACTTTGGTTTCTTTTATACTTGACTGTTGTCACCTTGGCACATTACTAGATGCTGACGTGGTGGTTTGAGGAGCCTGGGAAGAGATGCCAGCCTCGTGCTAGGTGCTGTGGAGAAAGCAAAGATGGACAGCTTAATAAGGGTTTCTTATTCTAAAGCAGGGGCCAGCAAACCTTTTTCTGTAAAGGACAAGATGGTAAATACTGAGAGTTCTAGGCGCCATAGGGTCCCTGTCACCAGTGCTGAACTCTGCTGTTTGTTGTATTGCAAAAGTGGCATAGCTAATATGTAAATGAGTGAGTGTGGCTGTGGTCTGATAAATCTTCATTTACAAAAACAGGCCGTAGTTTACTGACCCCTGTTTTAGGCCCTCAATTTTGTCATTTAGGATAAGAAGACCAATTGAGTAAATAAATTCTCAATGGGGGGGAAAGAAATTTATGTAATAAATATAAAATATTCTCCAGTTTTCTTTCTAAACAAAGGGTAGGAACTAAAACTCAGTGCTTTGCATTCTTAAAAATACTGTGTCCACCAATTCTTCATTCTAAGTATCTCCTTAAGTGGCATGGAAATTTGTGGCCTGTGACTTCAACTATACTTTTATGGAGACTGAATCAAAGTATCTGGGGCTTACATAATGTTTTTATGTTTATAGCACTTAACTGTGGCCAGCCACAATGCCAAGTGTTTTACTTTTATCATCACATTTGTTTTTCACAACAACTCATTGAAGCAGGTACTGTTACTATCTTCTTTTTATAGATGAGGAAACCAGTTTATGTACTTTATGTAGACTTGTCCAAGGTCACCCAGTTTGGAAGGGCCAAGACTAGGATTTGAAGCCAAATATGTTCACCTTAAGCCTGTACCCTTAAAAGTCATTGCATCTCCATGTGTAGAAACTGACATGGAGTGGTCCCATTCAGATACTATTTTCTCTTCAGTAATTCAGGTTTGTTCAAGTAACTCCAAAGTTCAGATTTTCAAAAACAGTTTCTAACACAGAGTATGTAAAAAAAAGTTTGCCTGAAGGGACTCTAGACACAGAAATAAAGACAACTTAGTGAAGTGAAGGAAGAGGGTAACAGACTTAGAAAAAGCTATCGATATTGATGGAGTAAGTGTATTAATGGAGCAGGTAATGATGAGCCCACACAATGTAAAACATATGCTTTTCTAAAAGCTCACAATAGGCGAGACACAGTGGCTCATGCCTGTGATCCTGGCACTCTGGGAGGCCAAAGTGGGCAGATTTTTTTGCTCAGGAGTTCAAGACCAGCCTGAGCATGACCAAGACCCTGTCTCTACTGAAAATAGAAAAATTAGATGGGTGTTGTAGTGGGCACCTGTAGTCTAAGCTACTTGGGAGGCTGTGGCAGGAAGATTGCTTGAACCCAGGAATCTGAGGTTGCTGCAAGCTAGGCTGATGCCATGGCACTCTAGCATGAACCACAGGGTAAGACTCTGTCTCAAAAATAAACAACAATTTAAAAAGGCACAACAATTTGTGTATTACTTTCCATCTCATTACCCAAGAGGTAATAAATTGATTTGAGGATAGAACATTTTATTGAAACAAATCACGGAAGTTTCAGAGACTCAAGTTAGACTGCCTGAGTGGAGCCTTGGGCTCCCTCCTCTATATCTCATGTGGCTTGAGGCAAGATACTTCTTTATGCCTCAGTTTCCTTATCTTTAAATGAAGCTAATCACAGTATCTACCTCAGAGGGTTGTTGTGAGGATCTAATGAGGTGATAACCTGCAAAGCACTTGATAAAAGTCTTAACAAATATTAGCTCTTAGAACATTACTGCTATTAATTGTGCCCCAGTTGGCAGCTCCAGGAAGTTGAAAAGGAATGTCACTGAATCTTGAGTGCCAGTTATACAGAGCACATTGAGTGCCTACAAAGCACTTTAGATGCATATTTCCTATTTGATTTTGAATATCAGCCCTGTAAAGTGGTTGGAGTTAAGAATAGCCCAGCTTGGAGCTGCTCTTGGGATCACAGGGGAAGCTATAGCCGTTGTAAGCTGTTTGTCAGCAGGCCTCAGCAATCAAGCTCCAAGTGAACAAAAAGATGGGCTTCTGTCAACATCTGTTCAAAGGTTCACTTTATGGGTGCAAACTGCTGGGCTCTGAGAATGGATTCAAAGCAGTACTTCTATTTTGAAATACCTTTGCTTTGTCCAAGTAACCTCTTCCCACACTGAGTACCAGAATCAGCTCAGTTTTTGCCCTTAATACTGGCGATGCTTAATGCTACTTCTTTGTTTATAACATTTCATTTAATTATTTAAAAATCTGCAAAATGTTGTGTATATTTTACCACAATTTAAAAAAATCTCCAAGTGTAGACCATACTCTAGCATTTCTAAAAATAAAAGTAAACATGTTAAAATAAAGTAAGAGTGAGTTTTTGCTACATTATACATATTTTTTAATCGAAAGTTTCCCCCACAAAAGAAATGATACTGCATGTGTTTAATGGCAAAATTCTGTTAGACTTCTAATTTCCCTCCTCAATATAATTTTTTGTTTTTACACATTGTCACAAATTGAATGAAGAATTAGTATGCTATTGTAAGCAAATTTCCTACAGAAAAAATGTTTTATGGATCTCAGTTTATTAAATTCTGAAGTATTGAGCAATTTCTTATGTGAAATCCCAGCTGGCTGCTTTGCAGAAATTGACAAGTTGGTCATGAAATTCATATGGAAATTCAAGGAACTCAGGATAGCCAAATCAATCTTGAAGAAGAGCAAAGTTGGAGGACTCTCACATCCCAATTTCAAAACTTAATTATAAAGCTACAGTAATGAAGACAGGTAATAGAATTGTGAGGCAAGGAATAAATTCTCACATTTATGATCAATTGATTTTGACAAGGGCTTCAAGACCATTCAATGGAGAAAGAATAGTCTCTTCAACAAATGGTGGTGGGACAGCTGGATATCCCACATACAAAAGAATGAAGTTGGACCCCTACCTCACACCATATATAAAAATCAACTCAAAATTAATCAAAGATCTAAATGTAAGAGATAGAACTATAAAACTCTTTGGATAAAACACAGGGGCAAATCTTGGATTTGGCAATGGTTTCTGAGATAGGACCAAAAGTACAACCAACCAAAAAATAAATAAATAAATTGGGATTCATCAAAACTTTTTAAATTTTGGGCCGGGTGTGGTGGCTCACACATGTAATCCTAGCACTCTGGGAGGCTGAGACAGGTGGATAGCTTGAGCTTACAAGTTTTGAGACCAACCTGAGCCAGAGCAAGACCCCATCTCTACTAAAAATAGAAAAACTGAGGCAAGAGGAATGCTCAAGCCCAAGAGTTAGAGGTTGCTGTGAGCTATATATGATGCCATGGCACTCTACCCAGGGCAACAGCTTGAGACCCTATCTCAAAAAAAAAAAAAAAAAAACTTTTTAAGTTTTGTACTTCAGAGGACTCCAAGAGAGGAAAACATAGAGAATGGGAGGAAATATTTGCAAATCTTAAGGGAATTGTATCAATTATAAATAGGCTAGACTTATAACTCTTGCAACCTAGTAAGTTGTAAGCTGGTTTTAAAATGGCAAAAGATCTGAATGGACATTTCTCCAGAGAAGATGTACAGATGGCTCGTGAACACGTGAAAAGATGCTCCACATCAGTAATCATTAGGGAATGAAAAAACTACGTGGACAATGAGATACCGCTTCACACATACTAGGATGGCTATAATCAAAGACAATAAGTATCGATGAGGATGTGGAACAATTGGAACCCTCATAGATTGCTGATGGGACTGTAAAATGGTGCAGCCACTTGAGAAAGCAGTTCCTAGAAAGGTTAAAGAGTTACCATGTGCGCTGGCAATTCCACTCCTAGGTGTTTACCCAAGATAAATGGAAATATACATTCACATAAAAACTTACAAATGTTCATAGCAGCATTATTCATAATAGCCAAAGCTGGAAACCACTCAAATGTCCAATTATGGATGAATAGATAATGGTATATCCACACATGGAATGATATTCAGCAGTAAAAATGAAGACTGAAGTACTGACATACTACAACATGGATAAACTCTAAAACCACTGCTAAGTGAAAGAAACCAGTCACAAAATACCGCATATAAGATTCCTTTTATATGAAATGTACAGAATGGGCAAATCTATGGACACAGATTAAGTGGTTGCCTAGAGCTGGATGGGCAGGTGAGCTGGGGGTGATGGCTAATGGGTGCAGGGTTTCTCTTTGGGGTGATGAAAATGTTCTAAAACTGATTGTGATAATGGTTACACAACTTGGAATATACCCAAAGTCATTGAATTGTACACTTTAAGTGGGCAAAAATTATATGATATGTGAACTTTGTCTCAATAAAGCTCTTATAAGACAAAAGTTTCCAACATGAACAATTATGTGGAGAACCTTTATCCCTGCTTTACATGGTTTCAGTCTTTCTTTTTATCCTGAACTCCACTCTTACTTGCCTCGTGTGTGTGATGTGCCAGGATGGAAGTCCTTAACTCTTAGGTCATTGCCATTTTATCTAACAGTCCCTGTAGTGATACAAGTTAATTCAGTTTTCCAAATAAGGGCTTCTGTTCAGGCATTCTGTCCAAAATTGATTTATCTATCTGTCCTAAGAACAGGGATAGATTCCTCCCCACACTCCAAAGTGATGTTTATGTTTGAGACAGAAGATTAGGCAGGGAAAAGTGTTTTTCCAGGTGTGAGCATTCAGCAAGGGGGATTAGAAAGATACTGGGTTGAATATAAAGTTATTCTGATCCTCAGAACACCAGGGAGGAGATTTGGGGCCTTTAGGAGGCCACCCATTCACAGAGAAGATGAATGTGACATCTAGCATCCTGTTAGCGTGAGTCCGTTCATTTGCCTTTCATTTGAAAATGGAAAGTAACTCAGACAAATGAGCTAGCAAAGGCTGCACCGTGTCCCTGGTCAGGACAGTCTTTGGACTTCCCAGTCTCTTTGGAGGGTCCTTACCCTCTTGCCCCCCAACCCCATGGAAATGGTCTGTCCCAGAGAAGGGCTTGAAAACTCAGGCTGAGCTAAATGACAGATGAGACTTAAGCTGCCATCCTCCTAACCTCCCTGCTAAATGAGCCTTCTCCAGAAAGGGTAGGGCAGGCTAAGACCAGTTTCTCCCCGAAGAGTTGTGACAGGAGCAGGTGTGTTTGTGTGTGGGAAGGTACAAGGCCTCCAGGGGAAAGCCACATGGTCCTTTTTATGGCTTGAGTCCTGACTACCAACTGCAAAGCATGTAGGCAGCTAATGGGCCACCTCTAAGTGGCCAGTGGTTTGTCTAGCTATTTACAGAATGTTAAAGTTTATAGAAAAGTGGTAGCCCTAGATAAAGGGAAGTTGTGGTGTATTTTGGTCATTCAGAGTTACTACACATGAGGAAACTTGGCTACTTTGTACATGTAGCCTGTCCCATGTACTCACCCATATGGTGACTACAGACTCGGGGATTAGCCTGAATGGGTCACAGAATGGAGCTGTATGTAATGAGAGCTCTGGCCCCTCCCCAGTCCCTGCGTTCATGGGGGTGAAATTCCAAACAGGGAGCCTTTCCTACCTTGGGTGTTTGGGCATCTGGCAGGAGACCAGGACTATGGTGTGACATGCCCCAGGCTCCCACTCACTGCATTCATCTCTGCCACCTGGTCACCCTTGGAATCTTCAGCTGCCTACATGGTGCTCTAAAGTCCTCTTTGGCCATGAATGAATGAAGGCTGCTCCCTTTCTGCATTCAAAGCCAGGTTTATGAAACACTATGTTCCCGTCTTGAATGTGGTAAAGCAAAAGACTTTTCAAATTATCAGGGCTCCTTTGTGTTCCCCCCCTGGGACCGCACCTTTCACAGTGTCACTGAGACCAAAAAAGCCCAAGAGCAGCAAGTTACCCTTGCTCCTTAGGCTTTTGTGAGAAAATCATTTTTAGGGACATTTTCTTGGTTCTTTGTTTCTCTGGCCCTGAGTGGGGAATAAGTTCATTTTTATTTTTCTTTCATTAAAATTGGAAACTATATCTTCTTTAAAAAATGAAATTTTCTACCCAGCTCTGCATTTAAAAGTGCTTTGTAAAATCCAGCCCCATTTGTCCCAGTGGGATGTCAAGGATCCCCCCACAGGCCCACTCTGTGCCCACCACCCACAGGCAGGCACCAAGCTGAGGCAGGTGTCAGGCACACTTGCTGACACACTCCAGCAGCTCCATCCGAATGGCAATGCGGACATGCCAGCCCAGCGGGATCAGGCGGATGAAGCGGGAGATGATAGGCGGCCGCAGCAGGTTCTGGACTGTGGAAGTTCGATCCGAGTTTCCATAGAAGACCTAAAGAGAGACAGAAAGCCTATCACCAGCACATCAAGAAAGAGAAACAGAAGAACGATTTCTGTCTGGAGCCCCAGCTTTTAACATGGAAAATCTAAGAAAGTGATTAAAGTGGAGAGAATTTGCAGATGACCCCCAAAATCTGACATTGAGTGATCATCAGCACCCACATGCCTGGGTTATCTCTCTGTCACGATATGGAGACATGTGGAAGTGCGTCATCCAAAGTGGTAGCCACTAACCAACGTGTCTATTTCGATGGGTTAAAATTAGATTAAAAGTCAGTTCTTCAGTTACATTAGCCCTATTTCAATAGCTTTGTATGATCAGTAGCCTCCATATTAGACAACAAAGATAATGACATTTCCATCACCACAGAAGGTTCCATTGGACGGTACTAATGGAAGTGCTTCTCGACTCATCACCAATTTTGTGTTTTTATGCTTTGCATTTTGATAATAAATTCAGAAAAAACACATATTACAAAAGAGGAATGTTCCCATGTTCCAAAGGTAGCCAAAGTGGGGCTCAATTAAAAACTCAGTGCTCGTTTTAAAGCTGTGAGCCAAAGCTTAAATATGTGGCCCTACTTTAATACAAGTGAAAAATACCTTTTAGACTTGAGAAAAACATTTTTTTAAAACCAAAATCTTAAAAACTAGAGGGAAGATTTTGAAAAGAGGAAGGTGGTGCCAGAGTAGAGAAAAAAGAATTTCCTTCATGTTTTTAAGGCTATAACATTAAAAGGTGCAGTGGTGGGCGGCGCCTGTGGCTCAGTGAGTAGGGCACCGGCCCCATATACTGAGGGTGGCGGGTTCAAACCTGGCCCCGGCCAAACTGCAAAAATAATAGCCAGGCGTTGTGGCGGGTGCCTGTGGTCCTAGCTACTTGGGAGGCTGAGGCAAGAGAATCACCTAAGCCAAAGAGCTGGAGGTTGCTGTGAGTTGTGACGTCACAGCACTTTACCGAGGGCGACAAAGTGAGACTCTGTCTCTAAAAAACAAACCAAAAAAAAAGGTGCAGTAGATGTTTGGGCACTTTTTCCAAAGAATTCATTCTTTGCGCTCTTTCCAGAATCATAATGCTCTTCCCAGTGACACTGGAAAGTTTCATTTCCTTCTAGAATTATCTCCTGAAAATACATGGCTGCCACATTCGGCTTCATCCATCCATAAAACAGAAAGGGCCTCATCTGCCATGATATTGCCTTTCTTTCCAGTAGCAACGCCCTACACTGCCTTCTCTAAGCTATGTGTCATTGAGCCTATTCAAGTGAGGGTCCGAGTGAAGAGGGGAGGGTGGAACAGGCTCTGCCAGATTGCTCAGGTGCCCAAGTGGAGTGCCTCTTTGCAAAGGACCATCAAGGCCTTCAGAAACACAGGGCTTGAAAAAATTCTAATTGGCTCAGTGCCTGTGGCTCAAGTGGCTAAGGCGCCAGCCACATACACCTAAGGTGGCGGGTTCGAATCCAGCCTGGGCCCGCCAAACAACAATGATGGCTGCAACCAAAAAACAGCTGGGCATTGTGGCGGGCGCCTGTGGTCCCAGCTACTTGGGAGGCTGAGGCAGGAGACTCGCTTGAGCCCAGAAGTTGAAGGTTGCTGTGAGCTGTGAAGCTACAGCACTCTACCCAGGGGGACAGCTCGAGGCTCTGTCTCACAGAAAAAAAGAAAAAAATCTAATTATCTTTTGGAGAAGCCAACTAATAAGGAAAAAATTAGATGTCCAGGTATCAAGATGATTTTTCCTATTGTGTTCGAACTCCTTGAAACCTCAGCCCATACAGGTCTTGCTGTACAAATAGTCATCAGACTGCAGAGTCTTCTGATTCTCAGTCGCACATGTCCACTTAACTTGACTAAATGTCAAAATTGACCTACAAAATGTCTTATTCTTAGGCAAAAGAACAGCTAACATTTCCAAACAGCTAGTGAGCTTTAAATTCGTTTCTACTCATTGCAAAAAGTGAGGAATTTATGGTGAAGACGACTTCGGTCCCAGTCCTCAGGATATAGAATTGCCTAAAAGTTTAGTTGTCTCTGTGTTTGCCCTGAAGTTCTTTTAACAATTTACATAGTTCAGTGTCTAACTTACCAGGTTCTCAAAAGTGTCCCAGGATGGTTATCTACCTACATCAGTAACAGATCAAGCCAGACCCATGAAGCAAAGAGACTTCAATGATCCAGTGAGTCTGGAATAGTCCAACTACCAATCTCAAGTATTCGACCAACTACCACACTGATAGGAGAACTCGGACAAATATTTCTTTTGGGATGCCACCTGTGGCTCAAAGGAGTAGGGCACCAGCGGCATATGCTGGAGGTGGTGGGTTCAAACCCAGCACCAGCCAAAAAAAACTGCAAAATATATGTATAAGTATATATATATATTTCTTTTGTACCAAGGAGTGGCACTTATTTGCAAACTCTTCTGGGCACGAAGGCTGCCACAAAGAAGGAAGCAGTGTGGTGAAGCAGTAAGGATGACCGAGTGTGCTGTGGGGTCAGTGCTCTGAGCATAGGGACAGGAGGGGAGTCCTGAGGGTATCAACTGAAGGTGCTTTGGGGTAAGCCCAACTTACCCGATTGTTTCCAGTCTGGTCCTTATAGTAAATCCAGTTCAGGCGCTCATCAGTCCTGTACTGAACGCTGTACTTGGTCATCCATTCATCGATGTCACAGCGCCCCTGAGTAAGTATCCCCGAAATCACCTTGATCTCCTTTAAATCTATCTGTAACCACTGGCTGCTATCCTGAAACTTGGAGAGCCAAGCGCACCTGCAGGAACACAACAAATCAGAGGGAGCCTTCCCCAGAGAATGCTGCCCCAAGCCAGCCACTGCTCGCTTTGGGGGGTTCCGGTCCCCAGAGCACCCCACCAAGTTTGGGGAGTCTGGGCTGCAGTCTCAGAAGCACCAGAGGCTAGTCTCTGAGAAGTGCCCAGCCCGGTATACTTGGATCACATTCTGTGTCTGCCTGCACCTCCACCTCCCGAGAAAAATTGCCAGATTCAACTCATTTGTCAAAAGATGGCTTCCAGCGTAGCTTGAAACCACCTTTGGGTGCAGTCGAACATGTCTCAAAACATGAGTGCATGGCTGTTGCTCCTGCCCTTTGCCTGAGTCTGCCTCATCCTCTCTCCATTTCACTCTCTCCACCCCTGTCTGCGACCCCGGGGATGCTGCCGTCCTTGGCACCCAGTGTCGGTCTGCTCCGTGCAGAGCACTGACCTGCCTGGATCTGGAGGGGCTTTAATGGGCAGGGAGCCAAATACCTGCTGAAGCAACGAATTGGTTTGTCAGCTGTATCCCTCATGAACTGCAGAGACCTATGGTGGTTTCCCTTCCCCTTTCCTTTTAGTGCCTATTCAGTACTTCTCAGGACTTAGCCCTTGGCTGCCTTCTCTTTTCTTCCCAGACTTGCTCCTTGGGTCGTTCCTGACTTTTTACTTCTATCCCAGGTCTTTTCTAAATTTAAAATCAAGAGTCCATTGTGGCTGGATGTGGTGGCTCACGCCTGTAATCCTAACACTCTAGGAGGCTGAGGTGGGTGGATCCCTTGACCTCAAGAGTTCAAGACCAGTCTGAGCATGAGTGAGACCCCCATCTCTAAAAAAAGAGGAAACCCTAGCCAGGTATAGTGGCTGGCACCTTCCTTTAGAAATAGCTACTCAGGAGGCTGAGGCAAGAGGATCGCTTGAGCCCAGGAGTCTGAGGTTGCTGTGAGCTATGTGGATGCCATGGCACTCTACCCAGGGGCCACAGAATGAGAATGTTTAAAAAAAAATTGTTGGCCAGAAAAGTTCCCCTGGATGTCTCACAGCATGTCAGCTGAGTGTGTCCCAAAGTGAGCTCCTAACTGCACCCACCTCAGGCTTCCTCTCTGTGAGAGCCACCACACCCTCCTAAGCACCCTGCAGCCACCCAAGAGCCGTCCTGTGCCCTCCTCTCTCCCACCACCAGCACCCACTGCGTCTATTGCCTCCGTCTCCAAGTGTCCTTCAAGTGCCTCTACTTCTCGCCAGACCCCGTCCCCCTCCATTCTTGCCACACCCCACGGTCACCCTGGATAGCTCTTGCCTCGACTAACCAGCTCGCCCCCTCAGGAACCAGAGAACTTTTCTTAAAACACAAATCTGCTTGTAATACTCCTCGACTTAAAACCTTTACTGGCAAAGTCTGCTAATCATCGCCTAATGTTCTTTTTCCATCTTCCTTTAGAAATAGAACCTCTGAGTTTAATCTGGGCAAATGGCCACCCAGCTAGGATGACATTTCTCAGTCTCCCTTGCAGTTAGGTGGGCCCATCTGACCCAAGTCTGGTCAACAGGATGTGGCCAGAAATGGCCATTACCGTATGTTTTTACCCTTAAAGGCAAAGCATGTGCCCTCTGCTCCCACTGACCAGAATGTGGATGTGATGGTGGGAGCTAGAGCAGCCATTTGGGGCTTCAAGAGGGAAGTTTCATGTTAAAGGTGACAAAACAACGAGGTAGAGGCTGAGCCCCTGATGCTATTAAGGTGCCATAGCAACCCTAGACTACATAATGAAACTTTCAGGTGAACAAGAAATACAATTCTATATTGTTTAAGTCATTGTACGAAGTTGAACAATTGAGTTCATCAATTCATCCTAGAAAAGTGCTACATATCTTTTTGCTGACTATCACCATAGTCACCAGATGGTCAAGGAGAGTACTTTGAAAGGTGAAGTAGGTACTGGCATTGGTGCATAGCTTCCCAAGGGGTGTACCTCGAGGGCGACTATAGAGATATTCAGCAATGAGGTATGTGGCACTCTGTCTACGGTGAGTTTGCGAACTTAATTGTCAGACCCCATACAACGTCAGCTATCATGGCCATTCCAGAGAAAAAGTTCTGAAATCGCTTTGGAGGATGGACTCGGCGCTGGCTTCCCCAGGGGAGTGCCTCGAAGGCGACTGTAGTGATATTCAGCACTGAGGTGTGTAGTACTTTTTCTAGGATAACTTCATGAACTTAATGGTCCAGCCTCGTACTTTGGGGCTCCTTGTTGCAGCAGCATAAACCTATATGCTAAGACATGGCCAAGGCCTCCCATTTTCCCTAAAATAAGGGCTAATGGGACCATAGTCACTAACATGACTTGTAAGCTCCTGCACCATCTGACTTCTGCCTACCTGGCCACCTTGTCTCACCTATGCTCTAGCCTCATTGGCCTTCTTTATATTCTCCATCCACACCCTGGGGTTATCATCCCCACTCAGGGCCTTTGCATGCAATGTACCCTATGCCTCCTCCCCTCCCTCACCTGCTCAACTTCAAGTATCGGTCAAATATCTTTTCCTTAGAAAGCTCCCCACACACCCGGCACATCAAATGAACCAGGTCTGTTTTCATCTCCTCCACGCACCCATCTCACTTGCTGAATGTTCAGTTGTGTGATGTGCTTATATAGTCTATTTCTTCTAAACTGTGTACTTTCTGCAGGCAAGGACCTCACCATCTTATCCCCTGCTGTATCCATAGTCCTAAGTACTTAGAGAAGGCACCGTCAGTATTTGTTGGGTGAATAAGAGCATTCTGTATTGTTCATTTATTAGACCTATTTTTTCAAAGCACATGAAAAAGAAACCCTCTGGGCCACCTGCCCTGCTTACCCAAAGCCTTGACTGTTGAGCCGGGCCTTGTTTGCAGTCCACGAGGAGTACCAGCCCACATACTGCTCGGGGTTGGAGCAGGTGATCTGGTCTGGCGTGACCTCCCCTGACTCAAAACCCAGGGGCTTGTGATATGGGCATTCTGGGGAAGGAAAAACAAAGCACATTCAGATGCTCCTATCTCCATACTCAACAGACACAAGGCGACAGAAAGAACAAAACACACATCTTGTTTGTGCTTTGGAGACACCAGAATGTTGTGCTTGTCAGTGTAGTTTCACAAAGGGTAGATCTGGGGCTTCAACGGTCCACTGCTGAGGCTGGGGGGAAGAGAGTGAAGAGTGAAATAAAAGGATTGCCAGAGACATAACACTGGGGAAAAGGGGAGCGATTCTATGGGTGGGGCTTGAGAAACACTCCCTCCTCCCCCACCTTAGGGTTCTAAACACCAAGAGGTGCATATTTAAATGCTGTACATCTTCATTTCCCATATTAGCACAGGTTTAGCCATCATGCATGATAATGACATCAGGGTGCCAATTATAGAAAGAAAACAATGGTGAGAGGCAAGAAGAGAGACTGACTTCCCACTTGTAAATTGCAGCTTTATCACCAGTCTAATGGGAAAAGGAGGGGTGAAATCCGCCTGAGGGGCTGTTGAATAAGGAAAGGCTGAAAGGAACTGGTTTTTCCTAATGGGAAGAAAGGGAATAGCTGAAGGTGGTTCTTATATGTTAATTGTCTCCTGCTTCTTCTAGTCTTGGTTACCAGGTCAGGGACTGCCAATGGCCAACTCAGTATTCGTTCTCTCCTTTTTTGACTAAAGAACCATAATTTAATTGGAGGTAGCAATGTGGCCAGCTAAAACAAAACTTCTTCCCAGCCTGCCTTGCTGTTGATGAGGTCTGGTGGGGATTCCTGGTCAGGTTTCACTTATCCTCTCTTCCTGTTGCCTAGACTGAAGAAAGACCTGATGGCTGGTGCAACAGTAGCCATATTGCTATGGGAATAAGGCCAACAGAACCCCAGAGACCTCAGCCCTGATATCCTTAAGCAACTTCCTAACCCTGGTCTTTTTACTGTGTGAGTTGACACTCAACTCCTAATTCAATAAGCTACTAGTCAGGGGGTTTCTTGTAACTAAACCCAGTTCCTAACTGAATTTCTATAGAAAACAAGTGATAAGCTGATGTAAATTCATTCTCCTGGTTTTCTGATTGTGAGCGATAAACTCCAAGTCAGGCAAATCAAATTATTATCTCCATGTGTAAATTTGAGTCCAGGTTAGAGAGCTGAACATATTTGCTGGAGCATCATCACCTGCAACAGGAAAACTAGTGAAGTCTTCTGGACAATTTTTCAAAAGGCAGTGAAGTTGAATGAAGCATGCAAAGCTTGACCGCCATCCTGAGGCTCTAGAACGCCTGTTGAGATGGTCATGCCCTGTCCTAGAGGCTGAAAACAGGACAGCTTCAGACCTCTGGCCAGGAGGGTGTAATTTCCTTTCTGTCCCACAGTATGTGCAGCTCCATGGGGCTGAAGTGAGGCGCTGCATTTGTAGTTCAAGTACCCAAGACTTTGAGAGTGTTGAAATAACGTCAGTTCCTGGGAGAAAGGAGTGCTTTGTGGCCCCACTCAATCTTGCCTTGGGTGGCCGAATCATCAGGGAAGCTTGTTAAGAATGCAGTCTCACCCCACCGCGCCCGCATTTTTAACAAGCACACTTTCCAGTGCACTTTGGAAACCTGGGCTGTCAGGAAAGGCATTTTATTGGCTGGTGGATTTGGAGAGCCCAGTGCCCATGGGCTCCTCCACCTCCCAACTCCCCTCCGGCCTGGAAGACAAGCTCAAGCCCCTATGTAGGAGGCACAAGCCCCGTCATAAGAAAGCTGCACAAGGGCTGCAGTTGGGCTGTCACTTAACCTCAGTGTTTTAATCTATAAAATTCTAACTAGAATTAGAATTTTCTCCTTCCACCTTGAGTATTTGATATATTTGATGACCAAATGCCCCCCGCTTTTTTTTCTTTTTGTTCAGGGCCACCAGCTCTGAGAGAGAAGGCAGAGGGGAAGGAAATATCATCACCACCTTTCCTGGTCACCTTATTCTTTGGCATTTTGTTTTTTCTCTTTTTCGCTGTTTTCCCCTTACATCTCTTTTGTCATGTCTTCCCAATCAGCCCATCTGACGGTTAAGAGTGGACTGTAGACCCTCAGGGGGACCTGGCCAGTGACAATGGCCTTGGAGGCCTATGAAGGTTATCTAGGCAGTGGAGAGCCTGTTGTTCACTTGGCAATCGGAAGACTTATTTGTCCAGATGTGGGTATTGTACTTAGTCTCCAGGGGGTGATGATCTCACTGTCCCTGTGGCTTCAGCTGGTGTCTAGGAGCCAATGCCTAACTCCCAGTCCCCAAGCCTCGTCCCACTGCCCCCTGAACATTCTCCCGGTAAATGTTTCCACCTGCCTGATCTAAAGGAGCTTTGTACCCTGTATATGCCAAGCTGAGTCCTTCATGGTCCAACCTCCAAGCCTACTCCCTGGCACTCCGGCTTTCAGGCAGTGATGCTTCCAGCTCCACAGCTGCTTGACCCAGACACCTGGTAGTTTGGCCCAGAGCACAAAGCAGAGACTATAGACCACTGTGTCTCAGCCTTAGCTGCTCCCTGGATCCCCTGGGGAGCTATAGACACACTAATGCATGGGCCACACCCCCAGAGATTCTGATGTCATTTTCTGAGTGGAGACCTGGGCAGAGGGATAAAGCGGCAGTGATTATAATGGGCAGCCAAGGTGAAGGAGGCCTGCCTACAACCCAGGAGACCTGGGACCACATCCCACTCTCCTTCAGCATGAATGTGGGCAAGCTGATTAACCTCTCTGGGTCTCAGTTTCCTCATCTGTGAAATGGGCACAATAGTAGTACCTTCTCTGGTAAAATTGCCATAGCTTAAGTGAAATGATATTTGGAGACTGTAGAGTTTGTAAAGCATGGTGCCTGGCCCCAAAGCAGCAGGTAATGTTGGTGTGATGGACTGAATTTGCGAGACTTTCATCAGTATCTTTTTGAGTTTTCCATGTTTTTCTGCCAAAGACTCAATAGGGAGGAAATCCAACACCCCATATCCTACTTTGTCCTGTCCCCACCAACCCCCACCCATGTGTGTCTAATGGTGCATGCTGTCCTTGCCCCAAGCAAGAATAGAGGAACAGGCATGACATGATCCTGTGTGTGCCCGTATGTGTGTATGTGTGTGTGTGTGTGTGTTTGTGTGTGAGAGAGAGAGAGAGAGATCTGAGAGAAGAGAATCCTTGTTGCCACCATCCCTCGGGCTTATGGATTTGGAAGATCTAGACCTCAACAGGAACTAGGGAACTAACTGATCATCCTAGGAAGAGGAGGTGGCAGCCTCAGCTAAGGTAGTAGGTTCCCCTGAGGAGCTGGACCAGGGATGGGCCTGAGCTCTGAGCACCCTTGGGAAACTTGGGAAGGTCTTGGCTCAAAAGGAGAATAGCCACCAAAGAGGGAGCCTGCCGCCCAGCCTGAACCCAGTCCCTGCCCCAGGCAGCCCTTGCAAGCTTGTAGGGGGTTCGTGTAGTCTGAGGGTGTCCGTGTAGTCTGAGGGTGTCCAACCTGCAGCCTATGGGACTCATGCAGATTTTGTAAAGACTTTTGCTTATCCGTGGCGTCCAATATGAAAATTATGCATGGACCTTTTGTTTTACTCTTCAGTTTTTGCAGCGTTTGTGTATTTAATGTGTGGCCCAAGGCAACTCTTCTTCCAATGTGAAACAGAGAGGAAAAAGGTTGGCTACCCCTTGTCCAAAGGGGAGAGAAAAGACTTTCAAAAATCCTGTCTTTAGACTCCTCATAGGCCATAGCAAGGGGGGACTCAAACTGGATTTAGTCTAACACAGAAAATAGGCAATGTGACATTTCTCCTGCTCTGTGCACTGTGACGTAGGCTGTATTATAGAGGATTAAACATCATACTTACTACAACAGTCACCAATATCATAACCCATCTTAGGAATTACCGAGAACAAGACATTCTCCTGGCAAGCCTGCAGTCACGACACTGTATTCCAGTTAATTACTGGGATTTTTCCTAATTCCTCTTTTCCCCTCTCTTCCTCCTTCTGAGGTCTTGCTTGAACTCCCCTCAGGTGGCACATGGCCTGGACCTTCTCTTAAGGCTGTCCTCTCCCCTCCCCCTTCACCTGCTCAAGCTCCTCACCCTTCAGGCCAGATTCCTGGGCAGGCTCCCCAGGCAACTGCGGCCTGTCACTTCTCTCTCCTCCCCGGTCTTCCCCATAGCCTGTCAGTCCACAATGCCTACGCGTGCCAGGCACTCCCTAGACAGTGAGTGGATGGATGAATGGAGGGATTAAACAAACACTGTCACCCCACCTTGGATGGCTAGTGGGAACAAGCGGAGGAAAAGTTAGAAATAGGTGGCAGAAACTCAGGGAGGAAGTGGAAGCTGACTGCAGCCTGGAGAATTCCCTCTGGCCTCGTCCAAAAGAAACTGTGAATTGAGCATAAGCTAGAAAGCAGCAACATAAATATTGTTGTTGAAAGAATTAAGGGGATTCTTTTTTTTTTTTTTTTTTGAGATAGTGTCTTACTCTGCCACCCTGGGTAGAGCGCTGTGGCATCATCATAGTTCACAGCTGGGCTCAGGCAGTCCTCTTGATTAGCCTCCTGAGTAGCTGGGACTACAGGCACCTGCCACTATGACTGGCTAATTTTTCTCTCTTTAGTAGAGCTAGGGCCTCACTCATGCTCAGGCTGGTCTCGAACTCCTGACCTCAAGGGATCCACCCACCTTGGCCTCCCAGAGTGCCAGGACCGAATTAAGGGGATTCTTATCAGACACACTGAAAATATGACCTGCCCAAGTTTTCCACGCAATGTAACTTTGGTGTTGTAGCTATTCAAGCTGTCTCTATACTCATTTCACTTTTAAGGAAAAATGTGCATCTTTACAGGCTCAAGTGGCTCTTCTGAGCCATGATTTGATCATTGGATGGACGAAAGTATATTAGTAATGTGCTGCTAATCCAACCTACATATGCTAAACATACAGGCCTTTTTTCTTCAGTCAATACTTTCTGGGTTTGTAAGCGTGAAGGCCAGACACAGTTATACAGAATGCTAACCTAGGCCAGGCACAGTGGCTCACGCCTGTAATCCTAGCACTCTGGGAGGCCCAGGAGGGTGGTTTGTCTGAACTCAGAGCTCAAGACCAGCCTGAGTAAGAGCAAGACCTCATCTCTAAAAATAGCCAGGCCTTGTGGCATGTGCCGGTAGTCCCAGCTACTTGGGAGGCTGAGACAAGAGGATCTCATAAGCCTAAGAGTTTGAGGTTGCTGTGAGCTGTGACGTCACGGCACTCTACCAAGGGTAGCAAAGTGAGACTCTGTCTCAAAGAAAAAAAGAATGCTTACCTAAAGAAACAGAGACCAGGGACGCTATTGACAAGCGATTCCAGGGAGACGTGAGTAGTATTGTGCAGACATAGCCTTGACTATATATGACACAGTAGTAGAGTATAGAATAAAATAGAGAGAGTAATAATTATAGAACAATAATTGTAAATGGAAATGTAATATAGAATATAAAATCTAGATTCAAAGTAAAGCATTAGTGAACCATTGGATTTCTTACATTAAATACTTTTGATACCTTCCCTACCCTATTTTCTGCTCTCAGGGTGCTGGGGTAATCTTGGCTCAAAGGTAGAAAAGACAGAGCTTTTAGAATTTGTAATAGCGTTAAGCTGATGATTAGGAGGCCGTAATGCACCTAGCCTTCTGCTCACGGGGGAAGGGCACCAATAGCCAGAGTGCAAGCACCTGCCGACTCCTCTTGGCAGCTCAGAGTGATCCCCTATCCTCCTGTGCCTTCTAGGGACATCTTCCCTCCTAAGGCAGGCTCTGATGGAAGCCCTGGATCTCAAGGACCTGGACGACCCAGAATCATTCTTGACAATCTGAGGCACTGACGGGCAAGTGACTTCTGGAAGTTTGTGGCTGGTCCTGCTGCCCTGAATCCACTCTTTCATGGAGGAATCAATTAACACCAATAAATATACCATTTAACATCAAGGTTGTGTTTTTTTCCTTTCTGAAGATAATTGCCCAGTTAAAAAAGACAAAAACAAAAAAAAACTAGTGAGGAGAAGGGGGCGCTTAAGTGAAATGAATCTCTAATTTTAGAACTTGAAGTTCCTGGTGATTGTGTAGGGGAGACAACTTGGGGGACTGGGGTTGACTTCACATCCCTCAAACACACAGCCCTTCTGGGTGTCACAGGTGATTGTGTCAGTGAAGCCAATCCATATAAATCATCTCTTTTCCATTTCTTCTTAAAACTTCCTTGGAATGGAATTCCAGTACTTCTCATGTGTCTAGTGAAAAAAAAAATTGTTGCCACTAAATGGCAAATTTCTCCACGGTGAAGACAATGGCTTCATTTCTGCCTTCTTATCAGTGCCTGGCACACAATAGGCACATGATGAGATGGTTGGGGGAACTGAATTACAAGTGGCTTACTAAGGGGACTGCTTCAGTAGCGGCAGAGCAGAGCGCACCGACATGGCCGCCTGAGCTGATGCTGACTGCTTTCCCCGTGACTGGGACCCAGGCTATTGCCTGGGAGAATAGACTTAGTTCAGAAACAACTTCCTACCTGGTTAGTAAATAGGAAAACCAAGGCAGTAGAAGCCATTGTACTCTATCCCCCACTTTGCGGCAATTTGCTATTTTAATGCAAATTTAATGAAATAATGAAAAGAGGCTCACATAGACACACAAACCTGTCTCTCCCTGAGCTATTATTAGGCGATTATGTAAAGTCAATGAGATTGCATGGTGCCACCTTAACCCCAGAGAGAGGTGCCAAGGCCAGTTTCCTGCAAAATAGGCTCTGAGAGGATTAAGCCTTGGCCACGGCCCCAGCCCACAGCCCAGACCCCTCTTGGGTCTGCTCACTCCCTCCTCAGACTGTGGCCTCTTAGGAGGCAGGGAGAAAGGGAGTGGCCTGTACTAAACACTTTGCTAGCTACAACACAAGATGCTTTTAACGCCTCATCTTATTTATTCCTCATAACCATTCCTTAGAGCAGGGGTCAACAAACAAAATAAAGTTGACCCTTGGGCCCAAGCTGGCTCCCTGCCTGTTTGTACATAAAGTTTGATTGGAATACAGCCATGCTTGGGCACTTACATACGTGTCATGGCTGCTTTCCACCTACAAGGGCAGAAGGGAGTAGTTGTGACAGACCATTTGGTCCACAAAGCCACAAATATAAACTGTCTGCTCCTTTATAAAGTTTGTGGCCTCTTTCGTAGAGGAAGGCATTTATTAGTCAAAGTAGGCTACATTCACTGCAGAGCAAACTGTTCTGGAAATCTCAGAGGCTTCACGTCATATAACACAGGTTTAGTTGTCACGGAAGTGACTTATCTATAGTGAGTAGGCAGGGGGTTCTGCTCCATGTAATCACCTAGGGACCAGGCTGTAGGAGCAGCCACTATCTCAACAGATGGCTTCAGGGCAGGGAAAGGGAGAGCTAGAGACCTGGACGCCAAGCTTTTAAACACTTCATTTTGAAAGTGGCCTGCTCACCTTGGCTGGACCTGCTCAGAGGGCACCAGCAGATTGTCAGGGAGCTGGGAAATGTGGGAGACGCATGTAGTTGTTTGATGAGCAGTAAGGACCTAGGCACAGTGATATCACCTCCATTGCACAGAAAAAGAACACAGTGGCAGTCCCAGAGTTCAGAAGTGATGCAGCCAGGATTCTAGTTCCCATTTTTCGGGCTGGAAAGCCCATGCTCTTCTCAAAACTCCATGCTGTCTACCATTAATTTATTTTTAATCAGTTCTATTCATGATTTCATTAAACATTAGGACCCACCTTACCATCTCAGCCAGGCCAAGTGGAGATCCAGGAGACCGTTTCTGAACAGCAACCTCAGTGCAGTCTTGGGAGCAGTGGCCAGTGTGAGATTTGAAGCTCAGAGGCCAACTGAAGAAAGCTCAGAGCATGGCATTCAGAGGGGTTAATTCAGTTGGGTTGGAAGAAGGAGGAGAACTAGGGCATTCCCAAGGACTGTCCTGATGTGGCACCCAAAGGAGAGGGGACACAGGGACACTCACCTGGTATACAATCTAAGGAGGTGGCGCTTGTAGACCACAGAGCATTGGCTCCTCCTTGGCAATCACACTTGCACGCTTTTTGGTACCAGGGGTCCTCACCCTCATCCTGTGGGCAGCCAGAGGGGCAGGTGGTCAGAAAAGTCACAGTCAAAGGCTAGTGGTTCCAGCCTCTTTGGAAAGCTCAAAACCCAGACTTCTTACATATCACTTATGGCAGCTTTGCTAAAATGGTGGATTTGAATTATTAATCCAGCCTTAACAAAGTTGCCACTCATCTTTCATTCTAAATGAGTAAATGTGTGCCACCGTGAGTGACCAGCCAATAATCTCACAGACACACTCATGCAAGAGGGCAGTGTTTGCTCCATTATAATTATCTTCGGGGGGTTTAGGGAACCAAAATCCAAGATCTCACATCCCCTGGAGATTCCTATCTGGGAACCCAATTTTAAAAGGTACCAGATTCCAGATAGCGCCATCTGAATTTAAGGCCTGGTGTACTTTTGCTCTCTCATTAAAACATCAACCTCGGAGTTTGCCCAGGTAAAACATGCTATTGCCACCACCAGAAAGGAAAAAAAAAATATATATATATATATATCTTTAAAAATACATTTTTTCAAAACACTGATAGCCCTAGACATTATAGGAAAATCTTCAAAAGCAGTGTGCACGCAAATCCCAGCCTCCTCACCGCAACATACCTCAGTAGACGATAATCCCAGGGTGGCTGAACAAAGAGACAAGAGGGTAGAAATCAAATGAATAAAAGAAAGAGAAATTCAACAAAGTCATTCATGTGAAACTAGTCACATGAAAGTGAAAAGTCCCTTCTGGAGGAAGTCAAGCTAAGTAAACATCTGCCAGGAAAAGCATGCACAGATGCTGGGGAACTAGGGACACTCAAACAGAAAGACTAGGACACCATCGTTATTATTTCTGTTCATTATAGAGTTTTGGGAAATACAGTAATGTCACACAGTGGGGCAGGGGGATAGCTTCTATTTCTTACCATCAAAGGCAACGCTATGAACATTTTAGTATAAATCTTTCCAGTCATTTTTCTATATGTATTTTTTAAACATATTTGAGAAGCTACTATCAAAATAATTTTGTATCCTGCTTTCTTTTTCACTTAACATTAACAATATGAGCCTTGGCTCGGCGCCTGTGGCTCAAGTGGCTAAGGCGCCAGCCACATACACCTAAGGTCGTGGGTTCGAATTCAGCCTGGGCCCGCCAAACAACAATGACAGCTGCAACCAAAAAAATAGCCAGGCGTTGTGGCAGGCGCCTGTGGTCCTAGCTACTTGGGAGGCTGAGGCAGGAGACTCGCTTGAGCCCAGGAGTTGGAGGTTGCTGTGAGCTGTGATGCCACAGTACTCTACCCAGGGGGACAGCTTGAGGCTCTGTCTCAACAACAACAACAAAAAGAAACAATACGAGCCTTTATTTTTACTTATTAACTCTTCGTCATCATCATCGTCATCATCCCTGTTTCTGCCCGGTGTCCTATTCAGGAGTTGATTCCCTATCCCCCAACTATGCCACATTGAAATTAGGATTAGAACGTTATTTAGAAATACTTTTTTTTTTTTAGGTTTGTCGACAGCGTACGGGAAATATCAAGCCACAAAGTACAAATACTGTATCCATAACATGGGAAAATTGAAAATGTGCAAAATTTAACATAAATTTATTTTTCTTTTTCATTATTATTTGTTTTTGAGACAGAGTCTCAAGCTGTCGCCCTGGGGAGAGTGCCGTGGCATCACAGCAGCCTCAAACTCTTGGGCTCAAGTGAGCCTTTTGCCTCAGTTTCTCTATTTTTAGTAGAGATGGGGGTCTCGCTTTAGCTCAGGCTGGTCTTGAACTCTCGAGCTCAAGCTATCCACCTGCCTCAGCCTCCCAGAGTGCTAGGATTACAGGCATGAGCCACTGTGCCCCAAACTCTTTTGAGAAGTCTAAAGATGATGAGTACACAATTTAGTAGGAAAACAGTTTGTATACATTAGCATAAACTGATTAATTAAAGTTGCACTGTTCAATACAGTGGAAGAATCCAGTCTTATGTGGCTATTGGAATTTAAATTAAAATTAACCAAAGTAAAAATTCCTCAGTCGTACCAGTCACATTTCAAGCGCTTATTAGCCACACGTGGCTGATGGCTGCTGTACTGGGTAACACAGACAGAACATTTCTGTCGTCACCGAAGGTGCATTGGACAGCACTGGTTTAAAGCACTGATGGGGTACACTGAAGAAAACCACAGAAGTAAGAAGGTCTTTCTAACCTTGTTCCGCTCCCTTTCTCCTGAGGCTGGCTACAGAAACTAAAGTGCCCCTCCTCCCTCCTCCCCAAGGACCCTCACATGACAGGTGTCCTGCCCTACACCTGAAGGGTACGAATGTCAGACAAGGACACCAAGAAGAATCTGAACAGATTATTCTCCCGAGTTGATTACCATTACATCATACCCTTTGGTCCTCCAGTCATATTTCTGTGTGGCTGGTGATGAAAACACACAGATCTGGCTCAGCGCCTGTAGCTCAGCAGCTAGGGCGCTGGCCACGGGCACCGGAGCTGGCGGGTTCCAACCCAGCCCAGGCCTGCCAAACAACAATGACAGCTACAACTAAAACATAGCCGGGCATTGCGGCAGGTGCCTGTAGTCCTGGCTACTTGGGAGGCTGAGGCAGGAGAATCGCTTAAGCCCGAGAGTTGGAGGTTTCTGTGAGCTGTGATGCCATGGCACCCTACCAAGGGTGACACAGTGAGACACTATCTCCAAAACAACAACAACAACAACACAGATCTGCTGGGCATGGTGGCTCACACCTGTAATCCTAGCACTCTGGCAGGCTGAGGCGGGGGATTCCCTGAGCTTAGGACTTCCAGATCAGCCTGAGCAAGAGTGAGACCCCTTCTCTACCAAAAATAGAAAAGCTAGCTGGATGTGGTGGCTAGTTTTCTCAAAAGAACAAAAAACACACACCTATCTTCCTGTTTCTTTGGATTTTCATTTCTAAAGGCTCTTGTAACATGTAAGATGTATTAAATAAATTTGTAGGTTTTTCTCTTGCTAATCGGTTCTTTTGTCACGGGGGCTCAGCTATGAGCATTGCAGCGAGTGAGGAAATGTATTATGCTTTTTCTCCCCATTCAGCACCAAAACTCCATTTCCCATTTTCAACCAAATAAATACCTTTATTTCTTTTCTGACTATAAAGTCAATACAGCCTGCTGTAAAAGTTCCAAACAAAACCTAAGTGTAGAAAAATGGGAAATAAGTCACTCCTTTAACCATTTAGCTACTTAGAAAGTGAATCTGATACCCACAAACAGCTTTCAGATTGTTTTAGAGAGTAAAGGAATGGTCTCATATTTTTCATCACAATTATAAAAGCTACCTTTTTTGTTTTTTTTGGAGACAAGGTCTCACTCTGTCACCCTGGGTAGAGTGCTGTGGCATCAACATAGCTCACAGCAACCTCAAACTCTTGGGCTCAAGTGATCCTCCTGCCTTGGCCTCCTGAGTAGCTGGAACTACGGCCATGAGCCACCATGCCTGGCTAATTTTTCTATTTTTAGTACAGATGGAGTCTCACTTAAAAGCTATCATTCAGGCTTGGTACATGTAGCTCAGTGGCTAGAATGGCAGCCACATACACCAGAGCTGGCAGGTTCAAATCCAGCCTGGGCCTGCCAAACAACAATGACAACTACAACCAAAAAATAGCCAGGCATTGTGGTGGGCACTTGTAGTCCCAACTACTTGGGTGGCTGAGGCAAGAGAATCATTTAAGCCCAAGAGTTTGAGCTTGCTGTGAGCTGTGACGCCATGGCACTCTACCGAGGGTGACATAGTGAGACTCTGTCTCAAAAAAAAAAAAAGCTATCATTTAAAAAATACACATTTATCCATTCAGTGATCATTTTGCATGTCTGCTGTGAACCTGGCACTGTACTAGGGTCTGAGATTTCTGAAATGGGAGCCTCACTCTCTGCTCACAAAGGGCTTGAAGACAGGGAGAAACCAGAACACCAGACAATATGCACGGTGAGTACTTTGGTGGATTATGGGTAGGCTGCAAGGGGAGTCAAGGGGGCATAACTCTTGGCCTGGGAAGACTCAGGGCTACTCACCATCCGCAACCACCACACTATCTCTCCTAGCCCTTGTTCCCCTGGTTATGTACCCACTAAGGGCAGAATTGACCCTTTCAGGTAGCAATGAAGATTAGGGAGTGCCATCTTGGTAGGAGGCCACTATAGTCCCCGGGATAGTCTGGATGTTTGTGTCCGCCCCTCAAATTCATATGTTGAAACTTAATCACAAATGTGATAAGATTAGCACGTGGGGCCTTTGGGAGGTGATTAGTTTCCACCTTCATGAGTAAGATGAGTGTTCTCATCAAAGAGATCCCAGAAAGCTAGCTCGGTCCTTCCACCACCTGACGACACACCAAGAAGGCACCATCTATGAACCAGAAAGCAGGCCCTCACTGGACACTGAAACTGCTGGCACCTTGATCATGAACTTCACAGCCTACAGAACTGTGAGACATAAATTCCTGTGGTTTATAAGCCACGGTACTGTGATGCCAAACCCTGTGCTGGCAAAAGAAGTTACCAGCAACTTTGTATTTTCAAATCCAATGGACTGTTCCTAACACTGACCTTCTGTCTTCACACTGCAGTGTTGGGGGCTATTAGTCCCTCCCATCTTCCTTTAGCTCCCATCACTTTGGATAAAACTCTCGGTCTCCTTTGAGAGCTCTGTTTCCTCCACCTATCCCATACAGGTTGCTAAATCCAAGGTTCAGACTCTTGCCTTGAATGGCCTACTGGCTATTTCCCTGGAGATGTCTCTTGCTATCTAAAACTGGACCCACCCAAATGCTGGCAAGGCCATAAGGCAACCCGAATTCTAACATGTTGCTGATGGGGGTTTAAGATGGTGAAGCCTCTTTGGAAAACTGTTTGGCAGTTTATACTAAGGCTCAAAATATATGAAGTCAGACGATTAAGTTCACAAACTCATCCTAGAAAAAGTACTTTGACGGGTGGACTAGGCCCTGGTGTCGGTGCATAGCTTCCCAAGGGAGTACTTTGAATGTGATCATAGAGATATTCAGCAATGAGGTATGTGGCACTTTTTTCTCGTATGGGCCCTATGACCTAGCAATTTCACTTCTAAGGAGTTATCCACCAGAAATACATACAAATATTAAACAACACACACAGAAACCCATATACTAGATTATTCATAGCAGCAGTATTTGTAATACCCCCAAACTAGAAACGCTCACATGGCCGTCAAGAGTAGAGTGGCTATGTCGTGGTATAGTCACACAACAGAACACTCAAGTGCAATGAAAATACAGTCTATAACTACACACCACAGCACGGATGCGTCTCACAGTGTTGAGTGAAAAGTCAGAGGCTGATGTGGATGTAACACGTAAATCTAGTTAAAAATGTACAAAAAACAGGTGAAATAATCCATGCCATTGGACATTAAGATGCTGGCTATGCTTGAGGCAAGACTGGAGGGAGGAGACCCTGGGAGGGTGTCTAGGGCACTGATCTGCTGCTTGATCAGGGTGCTGGTCACATAGGCACGTTCAGTGGGGAGAATGAATTCACTGAGCTCTACGCTCATATGTATGTACTCTTCTGAATGTGTGTCATGCCTCAATGAAAAGGTTTTGAAAAATCTGAACTCA